GTCTGTAATATTGTGTGGTGTGTGTTATTGTTATAAGGGCGTGTTATTGACAGTCTAAGTCTAGTATAGTGTAGTGACAGTCTGAGTCTGAGTCTGTAGACCGGCCGGCTGGCTCTGTGACATCTCTTTGAGCGTCATGAGGGTCGAGCATCATATCAAGATATTTGACTGGCTCACTGTACAGTGTTCGACCTTACTATGAAAACTAATTTAGTATTTACCCTTAGTATAAGTCACAGTTACTGTACAGTATACGTAATTATTTTTGTATCGAAATTATAGTAAAAGTATTAAATTTTATTTAATATAAATAAATGGAGAGATGATACTCGTATTAAAGTAATTGGAATACTAATATTATAAACTAGTTTTTACCCGCGACTTGGTCAGCGTTAATTTCGGTATTGGTAATTACGTATTGATAATATATCTGACTAGACGAATTTTTCCGCCTTAGAGGCCACAAATAACCAGATATTGAAATGTATTAATTTTTTCGTTCGAAGAGTATTAAATATTCTATGTCCTTTCCCTTGTTCTATCTATCTTTCCACCAATTTTTAATCATATCCTTACAGCCTCAGTAGTAAATGGTGGCCTAGTTGTTAAAAGGCCCGCCTCTCATGCCTGAGCGCGCGGGTTCGATTCTGGCAAGTACCAATGTGACTTTTTCCGAGTCATATGTACTTTCTTAGAGTATTTAGACATCACTGATTAATGCATTCCCAAAGAGAGTTGATGTCAGGCAGACGGCCGGTCGTAAAAACTATTGAGCCAAAACTATTTACAACATGTAAGGCAGACCCTGGTTAAAGCTGGGAAATTGCCAGGTAGAAGAAGACGAAAATCCTTACAGTCGTTCTTGAGTTATAAATAGTGTAACTGAATGTGTGTTTGTTGTTCTTTCAGTCAAATACACTGAACGGATTTTGATCAAACTTATCCTTAGTGTAGTTCAGATATGAGGAAATAATCTATAGTTTTTTCATTACGTGTAGTTGAAGCGAGATCGATGTAAAAGTTTTACTAAGATAGGTACATTTAATACATACATATGTATAGTTACCGAGTTTAATCTTTTGATACACTAACTAACTCCGTAGTTCATGCGGGTAAAGTCGCGGGAGAAGTAATACTATAATATAACATACTGTATATATTAAATAAAATAAGATAATATATAAACCATTTTAAATATTGTTTAAGGAATTTAGAAGAAGTAAAGAAACTAGTTGAATGACATACAATACAGGCAGTCCTCGTACTTACGGCATGTTAGGTTCTTGAAATACGCGACGTAAATCGAAACGACGTAAGTCGAGACATATTTTTTCATATGTTTACATGTAAAACTCAAGGGTTAGGTTCCACACGGACTCGAAATAATAAAAAAAACTGCATTTATAACAAAGGACGTACTTTATTATTAAAAGTAAGTTCTTAAAATAATTATATATTATGCACTTATGAAATTGCTAGTTATTTTTGGTATTTGTGTGTTATTAATTTTAATAATAATTATAAAACTTATACATATGTAATGATAAATAATAAATTAAACTTTTGGCTTAAAGAAACTATCAATTCTAGATTGCTTGGCTTCTTTCTTCTTGCTATCATACAGATCTTGGTAACAGTGATAGGCTGCACAAATTTTGTTATTGACGTTAAAACTTCTCTCAAAATTAGGATCATTTTCTTCAAAAATTTTCATGGCATTCTTCAAATTTGCAAAGGCTACGGAAAGTTTTTTTAGTGTAAGTTCTTTTTCAGAGTCACTAATAGAAGAAGCTATTTCTTGTGACTCGAGTGCTTCCTTTTGTACTTGTGCTTCCAATTCAATAAGATCTTCATCAGTCAGTTCTTGCGAATGTGAGCTTAACAGATCATCAATATCATCAGTAGTAACTGCAATGTCAGGCAAACGGTTAGCGCCCCTCACGGACATTGACCTTGCGACAAGTGAATTCTCCGATATGCCGGAAATCGAAACAAATGACGTATGCTTGAGGAATAGTGTCAAAACATTGTTCGACGTAACTTGAAACGACGTAAATCGAAACGACGTAAGTCGAGGACCGCCTGTATATTAATATTAATTTCATTATTGAATGTTAATAGATTTTTTTTAAGAAACAAATAAAAATTTACATTTACATCTCGTCTGTCCGTGGTCACGGTTGCTGTAAACCAAAATGTCGGGAGTATGTAGTTAAAATAATAAAATAACGAGTGGTAATCAAAAAAATTTAGTTTCATTTAAATGAATACTCGTGAAAGTTTTAATCATTAACAGATTTTGTTAAACAAAAATTATTTAAGATGATTAAATATAAATACTTCTACGTATTAATTTCAATTGTAATCATTAAATCTGTTACTATATAAAATAAACTACGACTAAGTGACTACTCCGTTCTTACGTACAATTAAATAACAGTTCTGATAATTATCACATCTCAATGAACCCACCACTGTTTTTAACAATCTTTTCATCAAATAAACAACTGTGTATATTTGTTTAATTTATAAAATTACTAGCTTTCCGCCCGCAGCTTCGCGAGTTCGGTTATATCGCGTTTCCAAGAGAACCTTTCAAAATTATGGGATAAAAAATATCCTATGTTCTTTCTCAAGGTCAACTCTATGTCTGTACCAAATTTCATTAAAATCAGTTCAGTTGTTAAGGCGTGAAAGCGTAACAAACAGACAGACAGAGTTATAATATTAGTAGGGATTTATAATACCTATATGTTATTCCTGGACGTCAGCTTCCTGTATACAAAATTTTATCAACATCGGTTCAGCCGTTTTAGCGTGAAGAAGTAACAAACATACACTCACACTCACAAACATTCGCAAATATAATATTAGTAGGATATAGTATTTGATATCATAGTATACATTTGTGAAAGGTTTTTCAGTAGACCATAGAAGAGTAAGGTGATGAGTTAGTTCACTGTGTGGTGATGACAGGTTTCATGATGAAGAACGATGCTTCATCATCATACTAGAAGATGAAGAAGATGGCATATGTATTGTTCTTTGGTTATCAATTCATAATATTATTGATAATTGACAATGTTTTCTTTACATGTGTTAGAAAAGACTTATATGTAGTATATTTTTTATTCAGGTTGTAATACTAAGAGAATGTACTGCATTCAATATAAAATAAATGGTAGGAAGATCTATCAGATGATGAGAGGAAATACAGTCAGGAGTAATGATGATAGCTGGCCGTTAGAAATGTCATACTACTTCTGCTGGCAATTTCCCAGCTTTAGCCAGGGTCTGCCTTACATGTTGTGAATAGTTTTGGCTAATTGTTTTTACCACCGGCCGCCTGCCTGACATCAATCCTCTTTAGGAATGCATTAATAAGTGATGTCTAAATACTCTTAGAAAGTACATATGACCCGGAAAAATCACATTGGTACTTGCCAGGGTCAGGATCGAACCCGCGCCCTCGTGCATGAGAGGCGGGCCTTTTAACAACTAGGTCACCACTGACTGATAGATTGCATAATACTATACTTGATAATAAGTAAGATATATATTATTTGTATTTGAAGTTAATTTTCAAGTTTTTTCTTCTTCCAGTTCTTTCGTCTAAATAACTGACTGGTATATTTCTTATTAGATATGTTTAGGTATTTTTATTTCCTCATGTTATTTTAACCAATCAATTTTTCTAACTGCTCAGTTCCATAGCTTTGTGTCATTTTAACGAGAGCTGCAACCTTTAAATTCCTTCTAAACTCCAATCATGACGTCTGCATGACGTTAAAACGTTCTAACGGACGTCAACTCGACGTCGCGCTGTCGGCGTTACAATGACGTCACTTGAACGTCCACCGACGCCGAGTGTCGGCGAGTGTCGGCCATCTAACAGTGAGGCGGTCAGTTTGACGGCGAATTGATGATAGCTTTTAATGAAAGATGACTTCTAATACGAAGAATGACTGAATATGTGAAGAAGAAAATAACTGTTCAGTGTATACTGTATAGGAGACGTTGTTAGAGAAGGCTCTTGTAAACAATATTTTAACTTTAATGATTATATTGTTTAAATGAGATGAAACCTCTCATCATTCCATGTATTCACGGTGCGTGTGTTGGGTCCATCGTTGTAGTGAAAGGAGCTTCAACAGTGACTGGGACTTGTGACCCAGGAGTAGGTTTAAGAGACACTATCTAAAGCGTATTAAACGCTCACCACCGTCCAAGCTTCTCTCTCTACCAAATTGAAATAAAACCTACTAGGGCTGCCTTCGATATACATTCCAAGAATAAATATTTACATTCTTTCTTTATATGCCTTTCAAGTGTTCTGGCTATTAAATAGAACTACTCAATACTCATCATAATAATTATCCGTCCAGTAGTTAAGACTCTAAAGATACGTAACAATTTCTCGCATTATGATAATATGAAGTAAATAGAAATATCGTTCCAGAAATACAGAAATAATAAAATTTTTGATTTTATATAAAGAGAATTCAAAAGATACCTATATAATAAGTATAAGGAGTGCTTTATATATAAAGGATATACATTAAAATCCATGTTGTGTATACATCTGTTTATTGAAGGAGTGTCGGTACAACTGATACGATACGTATATGTACAAACTTACAACTACTGAACACTATGTAACATACATACAGCCGCCAGATAACTACGTCTAGGTGTGTGTATGTATGTCACTGACACGACTCCTGAACCTCGACGTACTCGCTAGCACTACGTTCCTGGCTATGCTTACACAATTCACTATCTATAATATTTATAACTTAACATAATCCGTCTAAACTCGTGTCTACGTTAGTTCTATCATTATAATTATAATCTGAACGATCAAACACTAACAGCTATGTACAGAGTCCGTTCAATACAATATGTATTCATTATTTAGAAATAATATTATCTACAGACAAATATTCACTGGTTTTTCATCACTGTGTCCAAAAGCTTTAGAGCGCTTAATAGTTATACTCCTAGTCGGAAAAACCTTCGTTGTTGGTGTTATCTGATGTGGGAGAAGTTCCGGGGGAGGGAACTTGTAGCTGTCGGCCGTACATGAGCTCGGAGGGAGGGAGGAAGGAGGAGAGATACTCGGGAGGAGGTCGGATGACTGTAGGCAGGTAGCCCGTGCCGCTGTACGGAGGAGTGAGGAATCTTCTAGAAGGAGAGAACTTGAAGCTCTGATTGGATAGAGGAGAGAAAGCTGACTTGGATTGATACTGCATGTATTGGGCGGGAGATTCAGGAGTTAAATGGTAGGGAGGCTCGGGCCCGGTCACCATCATTTCCATGGCCGCAACCACGTCCCCTTTACATCTTGCGAGGATCGCTTCTATCTCTGGCCGGCTTCGTCGCGGGAATACTTTGATGAGTACATCGATGGGTGACTTCTGTAAGGGCGCGCTGTCCTCGCTGGAGTCTGTTTGTTCCTGTTTGTTTCTGTACTTGGCTCCATTGTCCCATTTCTCCTCTTTCACTTCTTGCCTCTCCTTCATAGACAGGTTCTCGGGTGTGAGCGATGGTTCTGATTGTTCGAGCTCCTCTTCTACGTTCAGCTCGCTGTCCGCCGGTGAGCGAGGCGGGCTCTGTGAGGGGGTTTTCGTCTCCTGAGGGACTTCAACGGGCGATGGACTCGAACACACCTCTGTTATGCGAGCACGCTTGTGAACTGTTGACAATAGAATTATATTAATAAAGAAACATACACACATATTAAAAAGAAAATGAACATCGCCGGGGCAATATCGTTGTATTGATAAACAACAAACGAACACCAAGCCGTGTGAACCAGAAGATTCCTGATAACACACAAGCTATGGAATGGTATTGCTATCATAACATCGTGTCAATCATGTACTCTAAGGTGTAGGTTATAAGTTTAAATATCTTATTCTCATTATAATATACATATAAGTAAGTTTCGTAGTTATTCTGGAATCTCCGGTTGATACCCTATATATTTCATTTTATATTCAGTCGTTAAAATAATACTAATGATTTGTAAATGTATGTATTGTTTTATATAATTCCATATATCATTGTTAACGTGTAGTAATCCATCCATTAAATAATTCAATATTAGTAATGAACATTTCGTTGTTCAAAGTCAATTCAAACAGTTCATCTATATTATTTAGTGAACAGACAATGTTTTTTGTAACATTTTTCCTTCGAAGACAAACATCGCGATACATTAAAAGTACATTCTGAGAACAAACACCGCGCCCGAGAATAAACGAGAGGTCAAGAGCATGATATATAATAATAATTTACGTTTAGACTTAAAATGAATATACTACAACTAAAAAATAAGGTGATTCAAATATAATCTATTTTATATATACAGAAAGTCATGTTAGTTACACTATTTATAACTCAAGAACGACTGTACGGATATGGATGAAAATTGGTGGATAGGTAAATTAGAATAAGGGACTGACATAGGATATTTAATTCTGTTAGATGGAAAACTTAATTAACTCTAATATCTGGTTATTTACGGCCTCTATGGTGAAATGGAGTTCGCCCGGTTAGCTATACATATATTACTTATTCCGAAATTAATGTTAATAAAGTCGCAGGCAAAAACTAGTGCATATATACTTGTATATATCACCTGAATTTACACTTCACATATGTTATAATATGCCTTTTTGTTTTATTTTAGTATTATTCATTTGTTTTCAAAGAATTTTCATTGAAAAAAGCACAACAATAATATGTAATATCGTTTGTGAGTCGTGTGAAATGTGTCTGATACTTAAATGTTTGTTTAAAACTCATTATATGAATACAGAACAAGAGTCTTCAGCTCTCAACAAAGAACTTCCTCTCACGTTACTTGTGAAGGAACAGAGCTCCGAATATAATGTGATTGAGGTAATACAAAACTAACAAAACCTACGCCATATAGCATTGTTCTGAGAGCTTGAACATTAAATAACTTTTATATACGGAAAACATAATAACTGTTGTCACTATACACTACACGAGGGCAGTCCGCTAACTGTTATTATATACAGACCAAAATAATCCTTATTATGTTACTGTAAAGGATATTTTCCTGTAGCGTGTTTATTTGAACGATTGTACAGTTGCCCGAACGAGTCATTGTGTTCATGCAATTAAACTGCGAGTTGTTTTCAGTGGTGTGTGCAAATTTAATGGTCTATGTTATTGTTTTTTAAACGAGGGAGGGAGGAGGGGAATCGAGGGGAATGGAGGGGAGGGGAGAGGAGTGAGGAATTCGATTACAGTTTGATTTCTACGTGTATGTGTGTGTGTTAGCACCGTTTATATTGTTGATTGATATGTATGTAACGCTAGTTCGTTCATATTTACATCATCCATGTTCAAATCCATTAATTGCTCGTTAATATCGGCAGGCGTTCGTATTATAAGTCACATAGCTTTATCGCGCGCTAGTAGCGAGTAAACGATTGTTCTTTTCATTAAAGAGCTCTCATTATTTGATTGTTGCGTTTACAGCGAGTGTACTCAGTCTCTCAGTGAAGAGTGCTCGTATAAAACACAAATAAAGAAATAAACATCCGAAAACTTATGAATGTAATGTATGATGACAGGCAGATAAGAGAACATTATAGAAACATAATAAGAAAACAACTCGGACGCCATTATAACATTCACTCGCTCAATACACATAAAGAACGAATGGAAACGAACAAAAACATTACAAAAAACATTTCATTCATTAAGAATAATACAGACTTGTACATACATGAGACAGAAAAATATATTGTGTTATAAAGACACGAACGAACATCTGCCCGTGAATAATATGGAGAGGAGGGATGTAATATATATAATGACCGATTGATTGTTTGTTATAAATATGATAATATATAATGTTTATTAAAATATTTATATTCACCGAATGATCTGTGGAATGTATTGGATTTGACATTTTTACTTTATCACATAAAAAAGGTTTTCTAAATTAACTTTCTAATGATAAACGTGATATAATTTTGTTGAAAAAAAGAGAATTTTTAACTGAGAATAATTTCTCTGTTGTGTCGGAACAAAGTATGTTGATTGTTGACGGAGATATAAGATGTATTGATATAATAATTAATAAATTGCATGTAAAAGAAAGTCGTGTTAGTTACAATATTATAAGTGAAGAACGGCTGTACGGGTTTGGATGAAACTCAATGGAGAGATAGATTAGAACCAGGAGACGGACATGGGATATTTAATTTCGTTCAATCGGAAAAAAATAAAAAATAATTAAAATTCAATATCTGGTTATTTACAGCCTCTACGGCGGAATAGAGTTCGCCCGGTCAGCTATACATATATTACTAATGACGAAATTAACAACGAAGTCGCGCACAAAAACTAGTGTTCAATAAACTAGCATATAAAGTGAGACTGTTGAATTAGTGCTTTAATATATGAACTGAGAATTGTAATATATTTGAAACATTTATATTATATACTTTATTTTGTTATTATGATTGTTTGTTAGCAATGATTATTACAAAAGAAAGTAATATTTTCACATAATTACAGACGCATATTCTATTGTTTTAAACTACATACATACTCCCGACGTTTCGGTTACTTTGCAGTAACCGTGATCACGGGCAGACTAGATGTGTTGAAAAATCGTGAGCATGTAGTTTTTATAAATATAAAATACGCATTATAATCTGAAAATATTAGTTTCATTTAAATGAATACTCGCGAAACTCTAAAATCTCATTATAAGTAAAATTTAGATTCATATAAAGATTTAAACTGGATTCGATATGTCTTCGGAATGTACAAAGTTAAGCTGTATTTTAAATTAGCTGCTTTAATATCATTTACATAAAAATACGTGTTAAAACATAATAAAAATAAAAGTTTTTAAAATGTGTCTCAAAGAATAAGTACCTAGGTATTAATAAAGAGTTTAAATTTGAGGGACCAGCAAATAACGAGATTTATAAAACTTATGAAGATATGGAAAAATAATAATTAGTATAATTATCAATATTTTAATATAATGTGTTATTAGTACAAAGTTTCTTTGTCATTATAAAAGTTATTAGCCCGTGAACAAACTGACATCATTTCACCGGTCGTATGAAAAACTTTAATAAAATTAATGAATAAATATACATTTATAAACATATGATAATATATTACTATATATAAAAAAAGATTCATTACTAACATATTTATAAGAAATATTAATAAATGTTGCAATAAATTTTAATAAAGTCATAATAACTTGTATAATAATAAAATCTTTCATAATAATAAATATATTATATAATGTGACAGTCATATGAAGGTAATGTGTATGTAAAAGACTTATCATGAATCTCTCCGGGATATGATACGACTTGTATACTTATAAATTAAACGCCTCGCGCCTTCATGAATATAATAGCCTGTATACGACTGTATACGACTGTATATCGCCTGTATGCGGCAGTATGCGGCTGTATATCGCCTGTATGCGGCCGTAAGCCGTCTGTATTCGATGTTGACACAGTAATAAAAGCAATAAATTAGAGAACAATACTGGCTCGCCGCCACAAGCTTGTTGGGTACAATCCTGTGATACAATGGAGCTGTTCAGAATATACTACGCGGAGACCGTGGCTGCACTCGCTGAGAGGAGGAGGAATGATGGGGAATGTGTTGGGGAAGTATCGATTATGTACTTATACCTTGGAAATATATTGAATACACCATCCGTTTTGTTGGGAGTGCTCTACTTAAAACCTTAGTGAGAGTTAGGGGTTTAAAATTATAATTTAAAATATAATACTTATATGTTAATTGATGGAAATATTACTAAACTATTATACTTATTATTGTCTTGAATTTTGTAGCGAAGAACAAATTATAAATTTGTTTCAACGAGTTTTAATAATATTTATTAAAATATACGAGAACTGTTAAAATGTCGCTTAGTTTGTGAGAACAAAATTAACTTAAATATACATATTTTATGTATAAGTTATATGTAATAGTATATATAATAACAGTATAAAAACTATTAAACAAATGACTATCTTTTTATTTCACTTGTAGTTAATTATAGAATGCAAATGTACGGACTATAGATGCTGAATAAATGTCTTTTTATTCATTTTAAATATGTTCTGAAGTACCTTAGTGTAAACGAGTCCCGGTTAAAGCCTTTTCGGGGTTCTTTAAAAATATCAGTAATTAAAAGCTTTATAAAATAAAAACAACAAAAGCTTTAAACTGGAGTGTTTGAAGTCGCTAATTAGGTCCGTGGAAGTTTTCATTTATAACATAGTTAGGGAGAGACTCTTGAACAGAACAGTCAATGTAAAATATATATATTACATATGTATATTAATATAGTTTTAATTATACCGTACAGTCATTACTGGACATACGAACTAGATTAAAATTTTAATATTATTAAGATATAGACGTTCATTATCACAGACAACCGTGTAGAGAAATTAAATTAGAATTTAAATGAAACAGATATTATACAATGAAAGGATTATTACAAATACTTGCTTATATTACGGTTCAAATTATTTTTAACTATTATTTGGTTCGACTGAATGTTCCTTTCGTTTCCAAACTAAAGTCGTGTATTAAAACAATAAGTAAAAATTTCGTCAAAGTTGTCCAGTGCTTTCTGTTTTTATTTCCTCGGCTTTGACGTCGGAGCAGCCTCCGGGGTAAATGGAAATACAGAGAAAGCTAGAATCTGGGATATGATAGAAATGTCTTCATATAGAGATGTGGACATTCAGATATGATTGGGAAATTTGTTTACGGAGAATGGAAATACGCGGAAAATACTGAGCGGATTTTCATGGAAATTGATGATAATATAGTTTAGATAACAAATAAACATATAGGTAATAATTTCTTTTAAATTTCTATGTACAGATAGATTTATAGAGAACACATCTTGGCAATTTTTTGACAGTAGATATCGCTGTTTGTGTGATAGCAAATCTACGTTTTAAAGTTCACGCTATCCGCTTTTATTTGAACCAAATTTTTGAGCAGAAAGTGGTATATAATATGTTATTTAAAATGGTATTATTAGTACAGTCATCGAAACAAGTTTTTACTATATTAACTTAATTATAAGTGACAATGGAGACATATCTAGTTTTAATACCTTTGATTCACATTGAGTCTTCCTAGTTTCTCTCCAGACTGCTCCAGACTGCACCAGACTGAACTCTAATCCAAAGTATTTAATAAAGTTCATTAATAGAGTCGTGATCTCTTCCATTCTCAAGTGATTAGCCATACTAACAATACGAGCTCGCCCCTCGGACCCATTGTACGCGACACCTATTATTTACAACTGTTGAAACACGAACGAAACACGACCTTAACACTAACTACATACAGTCCAATACAGAAAGGGTGACAGAACGTTCCACTATAACTCCTAAACGGCGGGTGGTAACAATAAAACCGATTGTCGGATGGTTCCTTTATAAATTAACTGCGATCAGAATTTAATCTTATTGTACCGGGTTAAAGTTTAATTTGTATTGATCGAGCGAGCCCGGGCTGCAGCTCCGATCGAGAAATTAGTATTCTATAGCGACGCGATCACACGCAGAGACGGGGTATATTAATATAGTTATAATTTGAACGGGGGAATTGACTTTGTATTATAGGAGCGGCCTCACCTTCAAATATTCGGTAATTAAATTGAACATTACAATGAACAGTGAACCAGGGCTGCGAACAATATGCGAGAGTATTAAAGAATACTTCATACATTAAGAGATGAAACAAGTGGTAGGTGACAACCCTGACGGTGGTCGAGGAAATTAAGAGACTTTAATATGTGTGACGATACGAGACAAATAAAAGACCAAGCTATCGATGTAACTAAATATAATATATACGAAGAAGACAATATAATAACGAATAAAAATCTATTACAAAAAGATATTTGTGGCACTCGATATTTAATATAATTATTATAAATTAAAGCATTCGAACAAACACGCATTGTAGGGCGAGTAGCGAGCAGATGTTATGACATTATTAAAAAACCATATATAAGTAGTGTTTGTACACAACCCCCCCCTCCCGCTCCTCTCCCCGCCCCGCCCCTCCCGTCAGTGAGTCACTGAACCCTTGTAATTCATTTATCCATTGATATCTCTTACACAACATTATAAACACCCTCGAGTTTAAAAATTAATAAAACAGATCTAACTGTGCCTATTGTTGGATAAAAAAAAACTCTTCAACAAATATTGTACTGTAATAATATGTATACGAATAATAATTGAATCCCGACAACTCAAACATTGAGTCACTCATCAATCAGATGCAACGATGGTAAACTGACACGGTTTAATCAAAAAAAAACGAGGAGAGGAAAATTTAATAAAAACCTAAGAAGCCTCGCAAAAACGATACCCGACACCGAACACAGAGAGAGAGTGTGTATCACTTACAGACAGAGAAAGGGAAAAAACACTAATACATTGATTTGTAGCGGCGAGGGACGCGAGGGAAACACACGAACAGACATACAAGTACTGACTGATGGAAGAATAGACTCGTATTTATTAACTTGAGTCAAAAGTACTGTTTAAGAGTATTTAGATAGCACTGACTAATGAAGGAAAACATCGTAAGGAAACCTGGACTTATTAAATTATAAGTTTGAAATCACCAACACGTCTTGAGCAAGCGTGGTTAATGCTCAAACCTTCTCCATGTGAGAAGAAGCTCAGCAGTAGGTTTTGATATGATGATGACTAAATTGAAATTAATTATTGATAATAATTAATGTATTACATTACAGTAAGAAGCGATCGTTGTGATCTGTGTTGTAAGACGAGTGAGGCGGAAAAGCTTGTGTCAAGAACAGGTTACGGGTCCTGGCCCGGGGCTGGCGAAATGATGAGACCATTACCTCTGATGTAGAGGACTTGAAGAACACTTGGAGCTATACACGGACACTAGGACGACCTAATAACGACCCTAACACAAATATATACAGTTGGTTTTCCTTCAACACGATCCACACCCAAGGATGTACTGGATATATCACTACTATAGATCTTATCACGTGAAGGTTAAAGTTGATAATCCAATGTTAAACTGTTAAAGATGTCAGCGCTCCTTTAACTGTGCTCGTTTCAGTAAAAGGTTTCAATAATGGCCGGTCAGTCGTATAATGGCTGGTATTTTTTTCATTTCCTACAAAAGAACAAGTTGTTATAAGGCGAGTGGCTCGTTATTTGGGGTTAGAGGTAATTCAATACAACCGTTGTTCAAGTCGAGGACTTTCACTTTTGTGTTACTTCCCACCGATACTGAAGAAACATACTCCCCGCTCCTTAGACCCGGCTACCGAGTACCGACATTAACAGACGTAGGCATCGGAAAGATACTTGACTGTTCAGTAACATGTTAAAAGGAAGAGATGGAGCGCGGAATAAAACAGAAGGCTTCGACGGTAACGAGGAAACAGGAACGAAATACTGACAGGAATAAAAAACGTATTCCTTCCAACTCCCATGTACGGCCATACAACCTGTACGGCCTTTAGTCGGGACGGGCTTGAAACGTTGAACGCAATCGACCGTTCAACGTACAAAGAAACATAAATAGAAAAAAATATATATTATTTCACATTCTGAAATTGAAATTAAAAAATAAAAAACACATTGCGAAAGTTTATCAAAAGCCGACCCTCGCGAACCCGTTCACACACACACGCGCACACACACACACACACACACACACAGAGAGAGGTCTATTAAAAACGATTTGTACAATGAGCGTTCAGGTTGCATCCTGACCGCGCTCGGGGAGGCGAGGAGGCTCTTCACGTGGTCAGCGTATCGAAATGGACAGAGAGAGACGGAGATACGGAGAGAGAGAGATGGAGAGAGGGGAGGGGGGATACTTTGGACATCTCGTTATTTGTACACGAGTACATCTTGAGAAGGTTTACAAGAAAGAGAATACTATTCATTATGATACTACTATACTCAATAAATATTGTGTCTATTAGAAGTCAATATCTATAGTTATAGTTAATATATAAATCAATGAACCCGCTACCCCCGGGTGCTCGCGGACACTTCAACAATTGATCCATCGCGTCCCTGTGTGTTGAGTGAGTCTGTTCGTGAGATACTGAATGAAATGTAATAAAACATCGAGTGGTGTGTTCGTCTGATTGTAACGTGATCTGTACGGAATACAACACGACTATGTATACATATACTAATCTTAAATCTATATATATAAAAATTAATTGCTGTTCGTTAGTCTCACTAAAACTCAAGAACGGCTGAACGGATTTATCTTATCTTAGTCTTGAAATATTTGTGGAGGTTCAGGGAAAGTTTAAAAGCTGACAAAAATTCATTCATTTCCGGAAAAACCCTATAAACAGCCCTTTTCTATTTCCCATACAAACGTTTTTTTTTGACATTAAATTTGACAACTAACTAATATGTCAATCATTCTGTTCAATTGAAACAGGAAAAACTTGATTATTTATGGCCTCTAAGACGGAATACAGTTCGCCTGGTCAGCTATACATATGTAATATTACTAATGACGAAATTAACGCGGACGAAGTCGCGGAAAAAACTAGTTGTATATTAAAACAAAAATATATACGATACTTTCTTAAATGAAACTTATACCTTTCGTATTAAAACAATATACACCCGAAGTTTCGGTTACTCTTGAGAATGTACTTAAAAATAATTCGAATATATTAGTTTCATTTAAATGAATACTTAGTCTTATATCTCATAATTATATTTTTATATCAGTATTTGTAGTATAAACATATTAATTTCAATATAAATCGTATTAAAACACATCTAATATCTATCAATTAATATAACAAGCTATGAGCACTAGTCGCTAATACAGCCAGTGTTCTGAAGGGCGCCACCCTACAATCAATTATCGATTGACCCCACTTCAACATACGACACACGAATATAACCTTTAATATCATACAATAAGTAATACATTAGCGTGTACCGATTATACATCAGAACGCACTCGTCACAAGTGTACAGTCAATTAATTATTCTAACAATTATTTGACTTTAATTATTCGTATTTAATACAATTTTTTATGTAAGTACTCTCAACATTGTAAGAGATATATATGGTTATATCTTTTTTGAATACTTTTCATATTTATATTAATATTAAACCTTCTTTAATAGTAAACCTCTTTAGTGAGTCGTAAATATGATATATATTGATATATGACAGAGGGTCGCGTTGTGGTGGAATCAATGTATAGGGTGTGTGACGCTGGTGGAATGGAATTGTAACGCGATTTAATAGGGAGAGGACACACGCATGAGAGGTAGCGGGTAGCGGAGGCGAGTGGAGAGGATTATTATACTACTAACGTTTGTCCGCGCTAGTTTCCGTATTAAGAATGTATAGTTGACGAAACTGTTTCGATTTAGACGCAGTAAATAAACAGATTTTGCATTTAATTAGCATTTGTTTTTGGTTGAATGAATTCAAAAGTATCCTATGTCCTTTTTATGTTCTAAGCTATCTCTCCGCCAATGTTTAACCATATCCGTACAGTCGTTCTTGCGTTATATATAGTGTAATTAACACGACTTTCTTTTATATACTATATATTTCTCAAGTCACATTCAGAGCGTATCTCTAATATCCTTTCATCGCTCTCTCCCCGTCACTATATTTGTATCGGTCGCCATATCTTTAATAGTATTGTATAATTCCTTAATATCTGTAGCCTGAGGAATGTGCTCGTCATATATTTAATAGTGTTCGTGACCCTCGACCCTCGCCCTCCGACCTCCGACCTCCGACCTCAGGAATTATAATAAACACCCTCACAGACAGTATTCTTAAACTGACACTGTTTAAGACCATATTATTATGATCAGAGGTCATGTTACACAGGTCGACTGTACGTCTCAGTACTATATGTTAAGTACATAGTTCAAAGTTCCATACACAAGTCTTGATACGTGTATTACTATAAGAACACTCACACATACACACACGCACACACACAAACAATTTCCTTTTAATTTTTCAATTAATTTCAATGAAAAATGTACACAAAAGTGTTTAATTCATAATGTGTAAGTGTATTGCGACAAGTGTAGCGGAGCCGCTACGAGCCGCTGGATGTGTGTCGATTATACGATTTGAAGTCATAATCATTAGAAATAAGATTTAGTTTGGCTTGAAGGAGATCCGGGGAGGCTTTTGATGTTACAGTCACGGAATATAAATAAAGTTACCGAGCAATTAACTGAACACGGACAGGGCTGGCGGCGGGGAGAAGATTGTGGTGAGAATATAACACACGTAGACTACATCTTGAGATAAGACTGAAGATATAACTATTTTACAATAGTATTCAGTCTAAAGACAAATACGAAGAATTAGTTATAGTATAAACATGTATTGTAAATGAAAATATTACATGTATATCAAAAACATGATTGAAATGAATCGATTATATTATCATCATCCTATCAGAGCTCACTGCTGAGCTGTCTCTTCTCTCATGGAGAAGGTTTGAGCATTAACCACGCTAGCTCAAGACGGGTTGGTGATTTCAAACTTATAATTTGATTATAAGTCCAGGTTTCCCCACCATATTTTCCTTCATCTGTCAGTGATGTCTAAATACTCTTATGAAGTACATATGACTCGGAAATCACATTGCCAGGTTTCGAACCTTCATCTTCATGCATGAATTGTATGCTTTTAACCACTAAACCATTACTAATTGATTATATATGATATTTAAATGTATTTATTATTCGCGTTGCCAGCCCTGTAACAGAAACAGTTTAAGACTGCCTCTTAGGACACATTCACAGAGGCGACCAAGAGGCTTGCGAGGAATGAACAGTCTTCAGGAGGCGCACATTGACTGGATTCAATTTATAGAGACGGAGGCGAGCGACATACACACGAACAAACAAAGAAACAACATTATAACACTACTTAACTTATAACAAATATGATTAAATACGCTAGTTGTTGTCGACGACTCCGCTCGCGATATCTAAGTCTTAATCATTTCCATACTGATCTTATTATTAATGACAAGATTATGACTAAAAAGACATACAGTTACAAGTATATTAAATAGATTCCGTATTTCTATAGTGAATGTACTAACATGTTTTAAAGTCTGTACCTATTTTAAGTTACAGTTTCATTTTTTTAACTTTATTCCTGTTCCCGTTCCGTTCCTGTTCCGTTCCGTTCATTCATTAGTCGCGGTGTAAGCGGTAAGTGTCGCCAGTTAGAGTGAAAGTCATTTAATGTGTTTTAATTGGCGTCACAGTTACCGCGACACTTTAACGTTTAACGACTACTTCTATATCAATAGTGTTTTATATTTTTTATTCTTTCCGCTCCGGTTAACTATAACTGAGTCCTTTTCAGTTACTTACCGCCAGTTAACTGGATTTCTTTCTTGTTATTGAAATTGACTTTGATTCAACTAGCTCAGAATGTACTAGTCATTTAAAATAGTTAGAAAAGTTTAAATTAAACTAATATTTTAGGATTTAACTACGCGACTTTATTTTTGATAATAAACCACATACTCCCGAAGTTTCGGTTACTTTACATCAAGCGTGATCACGGACAGACGAGATGTAAATGTCTAAAATTCATTTAAATGAATTAAACATGCGAAAATCTTTGAATTCATTAGTTATAAAAATATTTCTCTTTCAAACCATTTTGTAATTATGACGTGTTTTCTATCTTCCTCATGATACAGACATTCACTTTCCCTAAAATGGAATTTTGTTACTTTTTTCATATATTTAATTCATTAACAAATATTTGTCAGAACTTTGTGTATATATTTAAGAGAATTGAGTGAATGTATGACGATATTTAACACAGTCAAAGTTTACATTGAAATAAAGTGCACCAATTATTATTATTATAATTATTGTATATTAAATATATAAAATTATTTATAATGAACCTAACACTAGCGGGAGAGTCTACCAACAGTTAAGTGGCAACTAATTAAAAAAGTTATCGTTGTTGTAACTTATTGTTAAATACTTTATAACAAAATAATAGATAATATACAAGATATACATTAGAAGCGTTGTTATGATCACAATTTAATATATAACTACGTTTAAAAACATATAAGATATGATTATATAAGATATGAAAAAGTCACAATTTTTATGATATACCTAGGTAGGGGAGCGGGGGGCCAGTTATTATAGGGGTAAGAAGTTACACGCATTTTTTACCGGGATTTTTAACTCTTTGGTAGACGTAAGTGGACTCATTTGTTTTGTTATAACATCGTGCGTTGCAAAAAAACAATCATTGACCCGAGAAGCGGCAAACTGTTAGGTTATGTGCACGTGTCTTGATTTCTATCAAGTTCGTAACAAAATCTTTTACGGAATTTTTGATTCCTGCTGTCTATATTTGTTATTCTCTAAATTCTTTTCACCTCGAACGTTCATAATGTATCGAGTTTTAATTTGTAATAGCGTTTTATTCTGCTATTGATATCCATTAATGGCGGCTTTAATTTTAATTAAAAAACACACCATGGGGCAGGTTGTTACAGATTTTCGGGGTAGGTTGTTACATGTAACAACTTGCCTCAGATCCTGTATTACCGTTCATCTCATTGACTATCATTTAGAAATTACTACGCTGTACTTAAAAATTAGAATAAATGGAAAGTGAAAAAATGAAATCATACAAATGAAATCCTACATTCAACCGAAACAGCAACCAATCTATTACCTGACACTATTAACAATATTACTGTTTCACCTTCTCCAAATCCAACTTGTTCGCAAGATATAGAATGTTTAACAACATTACTGAGTGCAGATTCGTCAAGTTTTAAAAATAAAATTGAATTAGCGATACCAGGTCCATCTGGTATATAAAGTACATTTGAAAATTTTTCGCCTTCAAAGATAAGGTCCTTTCCCAAGGCAGAGGCTCGAAAACAATCCATCCATAACCGTCGTAAACGTAAGTCCGCTGTATTAACCGATAAACCAAAATAACTAAAATAAACGATATATAAGATTTAAGAAAGTTCCTGCCAAAAGTTATGTGATTATTACTGTTAAAAAGTTGGAAAATTACGATATAGATATTATAATTGCTCATAAATGTTATAAGACTGATCAAAATAGTTTTTTTATTCATAACGTTTTGAAATAATAAAAAGTAAATGATTTATTATTGTTCATTTTGTTTATTTACCTACTGTAACATCTTGCCCCGAAGCTGTAACAACTAACCCCAAGTCAGGGGTAAGTTGTTGCAATCGACTTATTTCATTAATTCTCTATTTTGGGAAAAATTACGTAAATTTTAATATTTTTCCAATTTTATTCTACTAGCTGAATAGACACACTAATGGTAAAAGCAATCAAATGTATACATTTTTTGGTAGCTTTTGTGATATTAATAATTATCTAAAAATTGTAACAACGTGCCCCCCGCTCCCCTATACTGAAGATAATAAACATAGCAGTTATCTATAGGAAACGCGCTTCATACATTTATATGAAACAATATACGTATTTAGTTTGTTATAAATACAAAACGTTTTTGAATCACAGAGAATATTAGAATATGTAGGAGAAAATACAGGTAACACTTAGTATGTGACTCGTATGTACTGTGTGTGTGTGTCTGTGTGTGTGTGTGTGTGTGTCCGTGCGTGTGTGTATACTGACCGGGCGCGTCCTCCTGTATGTCGTTGAAGTGTTGCGAGGTCGGCTGTGAGTACAGCATGTTTAACTCACGAGCCTCGTTCTCCTCCTGCGCCTGCTGGCGACGGAGAGCGACCTGAGACACGGGCACGTGGCTTAGAATACACACACTGACACTAGGTTGATGGAAATAGAAAATAACAAACATAGAAACGAAACATTATGTAGAATGAGAAATTAATAGTAACTAACACTAACACTAGGTTGACGGTGGAACTAGAACGAATGAAATTATGTATAGAGTGAGGAATTAATAGAAAAATAATAGATTTTTACACTTTTAACAAACATAATGTTTATAAAGAAAATGTATATCTTTTACTTAATACAGTTTAAAACACTTATATTTCTATTTGATCTGTGCAAGCGTAATTTTATATGTGTTCTCATACTTGTAATTTGTGTATGATTAACATTGTCTGTGCATGTATCTAACTTTATAAAGGAACTGTAAAATTTCTACAATTTAATAGATTGAGAATGTAATATATTTCAATTTATTGAGTCAAAACATGATCTGTGCAAGCGTAATTTCGATATGTGCCGTCTTAGGGGTAGACTGGGTCCGGTTGAAACAAATCAGATTTCTTTTAAATTTCATATAATAAAAAAATAGCCTGGAACTATACTGATAGAACTATAACGTAGCCAACACTTTAGATTTGAATTTCATGTATCACTAGGTTTATAAACAACAAAATTATAAACGATAAAAGCTAAATTGTCTCAACCTACCAGTCTCCATTACTCGTAATTTGTGTAAGAATAAAATCTTTCTGTGCATGTATCTAACTTTATAAAGAAACTGTATAATTTCTACAATTTAATATATTAAAAAGGTAATATATTTCTATCTGTGCAGTCATAAAATGATCTGTGCAAGCGTAATTTTTATATGTATATCATATTCGTAATTTATGTAAGAATTGAATTTTCTGTGCATGTATCTAACTGACCTGTGCAGCCATGACCCGCTGTCTCTCAGCTATGAGTGTACATTTAGCACAGACACAGTCCCGCCAGCGGCAGTACCTCTTGTGTCCTTTGAGGGCTGACACAACGCCGTGGTTCCGACACCGGGCACACTTGGGCGTCCTCTGTGCACAGAACAACTTCTATACATTAAAACAGTTATAACACACGCACACACACACGCACACACATACACACACACAAACACACACAGACACATGATAGGTAATAAAATATGTATAGTAAGAAATACAAATAGAAATTCAAATGAATTTAATGTATAGAAAATTGAAAGAAAGATTTAAACTGAAAGAAACATGAAAATATTTATCTATTAAGAGAAGCAATTGTTGTTAGTATGACTTTGTTATATAAAAGAAAATGATTAAAAATATTGAAAGTATAAAGTCATTATGAAGAAGTGAGAAGTATCTATATATGTATGTTGATTCATATTAAAACATATTAGTTTAATAAAAAAAATCTTTCTAATATATATCTCAGTGTTATCATTAAAATTCTTTTAATTTTATTATCAAATATTAAAAGTAAAACATATTTCTTCTTCTGTCTCCATCCGTCGTACATCAAACTTAATACGATCAAAGTCCCTTTATTATTATTTACACTAACAATATATATATAAATTTATAATTATTTATAAGTATATTTAATATTAATTAAAATTAAAATACTTTTAAAATAAATATAAAAATTATGAATACTTTTGTATGTTAAATATATTAATATGATTACAATTATTATAAATAATTATTAAATAGTACAACACTGTAAACTAAAATTATCTTTTATTTTAATATATAGAATTTGTTTCGTTGTTTTGTATCTAATAATCACTGGTCAAAAAACAACTTTTACTTGTAATATGAAAACTATTATCTATTTATGTTTAGAATAAAGATAATAGAAATTAAATTAATATGCTTTAAATATGAACAGTTTTTTAATTGACCTAATTTATAATAATTATTAATCATATTTTATTTCACTGACTATATTAAAAAGTAATATTTGTATTACAACTGTAATTGATACTCAAATATATTGTATTAAGAATATAGTAATTCAATTCATTATAATATTAATGTAGTGTAACAAAATACTTTAATAAGCAGACTCAGATACACTTCCGAAACCCGTACACCTTGTTACTAGATATTGTACATCTTAATGATGAAGAATTGAATCTGATGATGAATGGTGATGAATGATGATGAACATATAGTGATATTAATATTAAAGATAATATATTAACATAAACTATGACATTAATATACTCGTCGATATGTTGTAACAAGTCACTACTACCGACGGATCAAATAGAAACTGTTTACGAAATTTGAGAATGAATAGAAAAAATATTCATATTAGAATATATGAAATAAAATCTTTGTGAAGATATTAAAATATATTCTAATTTAGTTATAAGAAATTATATTTATAATGAATGATTATACAAACATAAAAAATAATTCAAAGAATACTTATAATATAAAAATGTATATGATATATTATAACTGATAGAATAACTTTTTAGTTTTAATCTCTGTTTCTGTTAACTAGCCATTATATAAACAAATTTTTATGTACTTTATTTTTCTCCTAATAAATTTTATTGTTGTGAGAAATATTAATAAAGATATCTCAAACCGTATGTTCCAATACCTGGTATCTCTCGGAGGCTCTAAGGAAGAACGGCGGCAGAGCTGCCAGCACCGGATGTTGAACCAACTGAGATACATCCACACCCGTCGGCAGAGACATGACACAACCGGGTAGAACACACAGACACGCGAGGAGTGACGGGCGGCGAGCCTATAGCATGGTCCACGACGCGCTCGCTACACTGGCACACAGCGACTGTTGCTGAGCCTCACGAGCCGGCCGTCTCCCTCTGACTGTATATTGTAACAGCAGGTTATATAACGAGCCCGCCCGCAGCCAATGAGGCCGCGCCGCGCCCGCCCACAGGCACTCATTGGACGACACAACCTGACAGACTTGCTAACGTTGGACACAAAAAACACACTGAGCACAGCGGAATACATATTGTTACCGCTCTACAACACACACACGCACGGGCGAGCGTATTGTATCAAGAATAACATCCATTGTATTGTACAGTCCGTATTTTAACATCATCATGACATCTGTATTGTTATTATAACGAGCCACATCACTCATCACATCTCTACGTCATACAAGAAATACTTTATGAAGTTTGACGTTCATTACATGACATTACAACTGATACAATACATTACAGTATTAAAAATATATTAATTTAATGACTATATATAACCATCTCTATCTATTTCTATATATATTATTCTCTCTCTCTCTCTCTGTGTAATACTCTATCCATTAATTCCTTAATCAAATCCTACCAAGCAAGGTGACGACCAAATTAAATATTTCAATTTGAACGGAATTCGATTTAAATTACAATGAGTTTGGATGAGAGGGGGCGAGAGGGGGTGTGATGCAGGGAGGGGGGGGTTGTGACGTCATTATTAACGTGTTTGAATACGTCGTATTGAAACAGGATTAATATATACAGATGTTATAATAAACTGAATTGTACCTAGTCTAACTTTATCATTAAAAGCCTTATTTAATATTTGTATCATGATATACTGCTTCTAGTAATAATTCATTTCTTTTTTTATATACAGTACAATAAAATATATTTATTTCCATTGGTATGTTACATTATATTCATGTTGTGTTAACACCTGCTCACCTGATAAATGATGAGTCTTCGAGGGAGGAGGAGGGAAGGAGGAGGGTTCAGGGAGGGAGGAGGAGGCTGTATAAATGAGAATTCCTCAGCCGCGACCAATTCGCGAAATGTGAACATTTCGTAAACGTCTCAACTTAGAACTAGTGATGTACTGACGCTATAAAGAATATATGTGTGGAGAATACTTGATAGAAATGAAATAATACACGTTTATTGAATAAACATACTTTTATTTCAAGATTTGATTTTTTTAAAGAAACACATATGAAACATTTACATAAAATACAGTCAAAAGTATAGGTCTTCATATGTACTATTACAGGTATTCACAGCACTGTCTAAAAAGATTTATAACAACGACAACACCTTGATCTTACTAAATTAAATTACTAAATAGTTATTTAATAGTTATTGCTAAATCTATAAACACTATAATCACAATAATAATTATCACATTCTCCATATTATTCTGTTTTCTATATGTATCGTCGTATTTATCGAGTCTATTCATCTCTACGTATCGTTGGAGAACGAATATCTTGGTAAAGCGTTAAAATGAAATGTTCGCTATTTGAATATGGTCGCTATCACACCCCCCCCTCTCCCCCTCCACCCCCTCCCCGACACAGCCTCCACAGAACGTAACGAGAACGTTCGAGGCTTCACATTGATAGAAAAAATAAACTTATTGTGTACATGTTGATAGAAATACAGGCATTTCTTTTGTATACATCAATTTACGAAGCTTTATATATGTATATCATTAATTGTACGAGTAAATACAGTATATTGTTGTATTAAAATCACATCCAAAGACTTCGCAAAGTGGAGGAGTTTAAGTAAGGCAGACCCTGGCTAAAGTTGAGAAATTGCCAGGAAGAAGAAGAAACATCGTGTTATGTTTCTTCTTCTTATAAATCTTTTATTTTCTCTCATTGTCTTAACGTTCTACGTCTATATTTCCGTATATTCTGTTATCAAAGTAATTTAATTCTATACTGTGTTGTAGGAGCCTCCCCCCTCCCCCCCTTTCCCCTCAAGTCTCGTTGTTCGTTTGAGGTCCGTGTTATTATAATATGTATGTGTTCTCGTATTTATTATTGTCATTAAATTAAATTTATCTGAAGTAAAATTATTTATATGTTTGTAGATGATATTAATGATTTTTTTTGTTGTATTTGATATTAAAAAATTTAGTAACTAAGAGTAAATACGTAAAATAATAATACGTTTAATATATTGTGATTAATGAGAAATAATTTATTCTACACTCCACTAGCGATAAAAATCAAAGATAATATAATATGTATATTACAAAAACCTTTTAATTTATATCATATACATAATAATATTATATTGTAGAGTCTAGGTAGAGTCTGTGTACATATAACAATAGAGTCATAATGTAACAGTATTAGGTATGGAAGCACCAATAGCGAGTTTGGAAACAGTTGCGCGAACATTCATTGGACGGCTCTATGGAGACGAGACGACTCATTATAACAGACGGAGAGATACATTGACTCTTATATTATATAGAGAATATATAGAGACGAAAATAAACTCATATTATATGTACTGAGAGAATTAGTTAGTTAGTTCAGACGAGGATTAAGGAAATATACTTATAATTAGGTTACTTAAAATATTAAATGAACTTACTTATATAAAAAGTCGAAAGTATATTTTAATAGTCCACAGTCTTGATTGAAATATTATCAATGAATTAATAATCAAATATTTATAATATGTACATTAATTTTATAAATTCTTTAAAGACAATACTTCAAATTTCATAGTCATAGTTTTAATTTAAAACAGAACATTGAAAAGTCATTGAACACGATATATTGTTAGTTATTATAAATGTAAAATAACTGAGCATTGAGTCGTCTGTACTGAGCACTGAGCATCTACAACTGAGCATTGAGCGCTGACAAACAGCTTGGACAGCAGTCTGGACGATCAGCTTTGGCAGTATCGTATAGAGGACGTGAAATGGCATATTATAGATAGAATAGTATGGAATGGATTATGAAGAAAATAATAGTATATACATATGTTAGTATAATAACGATTTTTCAAAGATATATATATTATATTTTGTTTCAGTTTTTCATGTTTTTTATACTGAAACTTAGTTTAGTAAAATTACATCAACAATTAAAAGTTCGTCTCAATGTATTTTTTACTCATCATGATGATAGTTACTACTAGTAGTAGTTCTAGTAGAATATAGTAATTAATCCTCATAATATATATATTAAAGGCTGTCCCTCAACATACTGTCTGAGTGCTGACCAACAAAAACAGAAATACTCGCGCACTGGACGCGACAGAACGACTTGTGGCTTATATATGGTGTTAGGGAAACGATATAAACACACACACACACACACACACACACACACACACACACACACACACACACACACACACACACACACACACACACACACACACACACAAGATTTAACATTATATATACTGAAAACATATACATTATGTGATGTTTGATATATATTATAAACTAGCTTTCCGCCCGCAGCTTCGCCCGCGTGGAGTTCAGTTATATCGCGTTTCCAAGAGAACCTTTCAAAACTCTGGGATAAGAACTATTCTATGTTCTTTCTCAAGGTCAACTCTATGTCTGTACCAAATTTCATTAAAATCAGTTCAGTGGTTTAGGCGTGAGAGCGTAACAGACAGACAGAGTTACGTTCGCATTTATAATATTAGTAGGGATCTACGAAGTTATTCTATACTTTCTATTGTATCCCCCACACGTCAATCTACTTACATATTCTTGAATCTCATATATTTCTTTATAAACCTACATACTGTCAGTCTGTTCGTCACTGTATCTCCTAAACTCAGTTTCTCGTGTGTAAATCGTTTTCTGTTTTTTCCCGTCATTTTTCGTTCGGGTCTCGTTTGATAAAACTCCTTACATTAGGATCAGACGTTCAGATGTAATTTATGTTGTTTAAGAATCGTTTTATAAATATACTGACTTTGTGTTTGACCGAGAATATTGAAAAGTGAGTGTTAGTTTTAGAGATATAGTATATATAATAAAAGCCATTTTATTAATCCACTGTTTATTGTAACAGAATACATTTGTTTCTCTGTAATATAAGTATTTAATACTTTTAACACTCTTTGGAATATTTTTATTGTATCGTTTCCTACATACGTCAGGCTACATACAACCTGTCTTCCCTTTTTTCATTAATATTATAATGTAGGAAGATTTTTGAATGGAAAATTGTTAACGATTCGAGTACAGTGTGGTCGTGATGAGTCGATACTAGTTGTATTATAGAATGTGACATTATATTATATTAACATAACATTCAGTTTAATACTAACCTACTCATGTCAATACTGACTTTTATGTGTTGATATTATTATAAAATCTAGATCTATAAGTATAAAAATATATAAAAAAACCCACTGTAATATTCATCAATGATATATTTATTAATTATATTATTATTAGTGGAGGTGTCTGTCTGTGTACACACATCTACTCACTATAGTGTGTCGCTGATGAAGGACGCCGGCCGTCCTCATAACAATACGAACTGTTAATGAGAACTGTGTTACAGAGAGATGACAAACACACACACACGGAGATGCGAACACAGAGACAGATATAAATTAAACAGTTAAAATATACATTAATTAAAAGTCCAGAATAAAAAGAACAAAATTGAACATTTTGTTTTAAATAAAAAAATGATAAAACACTATAATAACTTAAATTTTATTTAATTACAACACCTTACTTCGATCTATTAAGATGATTCATTGTAAAATACTCGTTATTGTAGAATAAAAATCAAATATTGTCCGTAAGCTACAATCAATTTAATTCTGAAGTATTCAATATCTATTAACACTAAAATAACCCGCGGCGAGCCTCCGTCAGTGTGAACAGCCATCACTACAGTTACATCAAGCTCCCCCAACACGCGGCGTGTGGCTGACAGTGTGGCGACACTCAGAGGGTGTGCGGACGAAACTGTATAATGACATTCCTTAAGAGAGGAATTCACTAAAGTTACCTTTCACGAGGAGAACTCACGTACCGAATATATATTAATAATAATCATTACATTTTATTACATTCATTGTGTTGGAGGATTAACGAACGTTAGGGAGACGAGTGGGTAATAGAATAAAATATTGTAATTGTTTTTATCTTTAAAAAGAAATATTTGTGCAAAAAAAAACAATTTTTCGACTTTAGTTGAACAGAGTTAAAGCATGATGTATGAAAACAAAAGTACGACATAGGACAAGTTTTAATGAGCTTTGAAAACTTTAGAGTTATGTTCCTTTAACATAGTATTAGAATAATTTTGATTAAATAATATTACGACGTTGCTAGAGGTGTGTCAACAATATGTATGTTCGTTTAATTGCATAACAATATTATGTAATGTGAGATTTAAATTAAAATATCAAATTAAGTGGAGTACTACCACCATCTGTCATCGAATAGTAAATACAGAGAAACTACGACATGCCGACGCAACTGCCATCTTGTGGCCAGTAGCAATCTTTGTCAACTAGTACTTAAGTAAGTAAGTTAAGTAGTACTTAGCAATATTGCTAGATGGCGCTGCCCTAACTTATTAGTATTTTCGTAAATCTTGTTTTTGATATCAGTATTTTTACAAGTACACAGCATATTATTTATACGACAGTCTTATAATAAGAGACTTCCTTCAGTATAATTATCACATAACAAACTCGATGGAACATCCTAACAGATAAGTCACGATGTTTATTTATTACAACAATCTATTTTTATTCGCTATCAGTTCGTCGACCGCCGCTAGTCAGATAATGAAGACGTCTTGTAATTTTCCTTTTAAGATACATCAACAACTGACTCTCATGAGAACCGAGATTTGGTTCATCGTGAGTTTTAAGAGCAAGTTACTGAAGGTCATAGTTACCAAATGTTTGTAGTAACGATGTCTTCTTTAAATATGTTTTCCTTTGTTATGAACGAGAAAATACTATGACATTTTAAATGAATGAACATAAAAGATACAAATGTACGCGGTCATTTATTTTATTACAAGGACGTCAGAACTGTATTTATTATGTAGTTAGTGAGAATCAGATTAAATAACAGGCTACAGTACGAGAGACATTTATTAAACAAATCTCATACAATATTACAAATAAAATGATTCAAATACAAATGTGTTTCAGTGATCCATCACCCGCTGCATAGGAAATTATTATTGATTGTTTTCACTTTAGAGGATAGAGAAATATCTTACTTAAATGCAATATGTATAAGATTTTTTGTTTCATCACCCCTAGGGGGTTACGAACACTTGAGGGAGGGGGGGGGGGGGCACCGGCAGAGAGAAAAAGGTAAAGTTCTACATTACAATAAACACCAAATTTTAATGAGAAAGATGGTCATATTTATTTTTCAATCCCATGACAAGTCGTGGTGCTATTTAAAAAATATGAACTATAAAGTCAGCTTTTAATTGAAGTTTCTCCTTTTTGTTTTGATGTCCACCATTGCAGATAATGTCTTTACCTTTAACTTAGCTTTTTAATTTCATAATTTCTTTGCCTGTTTATGTCACGAGGGGTTCGCCAAATTCAACCCATGAAGAGATCGCGATATGAAAAAGATTGGAAAACATTGTGTTACATCAACAAAACATCGATCTTGGATATCTTATCTGAGAAGACAGTTACTTTTATTTAGACTCTTTTTTATTAAAGACAGAAAAATATATATGAAGATTCAGATGACGACCTGTTCGTTATTCTGTGTGAGGGTTTTAAAGTACGAAATGACCTTTTAAGAATAATATTTCCTAAACTTTACCCCTTGCTTTTATTCACGTACCTACCTATGTTTCTTTTGTTTGTTGATGAAGCAGAATATGTTTGAGTTAACTAAATAAGATATTAATTCTTTTTATTGAATTTCATTTTCCTAACCCTTTCTAATTTCTCGGAATACAACCATTCTTATTTCAAAAAATGATTTTAAATATTATTTCTACACTTCCTTAAAATTGGTTTCAAATGACAATCGTGACTTTCGTGACAATTTTAACGAAATACATAAAAACTGTTCGTAATAATGTTTACGATGGAAACTAAGAAGTCTTACTAAGGATACTGAATAGATGAAATAAGCAAATGATCTCCTTAAATTCAAGGAATGCATTTAACTTAGTGTCTAAATTTGTTTTAATATGACTGTACACCAGGCGACCAATGTCGCTCCTCCAACGTATGGCCCGTGTATTATTTGAGGACGTGATCTGTTATCAGCGATCTGTTATCACGTTATCAGTGACGTCAGGACTCATCTCAACCACCATTACACAACTACACCTCCAACAAACATCACGCCGCTACGAATACACTGGTTACAAGAAATATATACGATTTAAGGTAAAAACAATTATTTTATTTTATTCATATGTAACTATCAGATATTAAGTGGAAATATGTAAATTTTTATATATACGAAAAACATTTATTTATAACATAAATATATATCAGATTTTCTTAAATAAAATAATAATACGCATAGTATATTTCAAAATATTAGTTTCATTTAAATGAATATTCGTGGAAGTCTTAGATTTCATAATATATTATAATAATATGTTTATCTTATTTAACTTAAGTTTAGTACAATAACTTAATTATTTTATTACATCAACAGACGGAGTTATTATTTCAGTGTGTTTTACAAATCTTTTCCTATGTACATCATTTCTTACATTTTAAACTAAATATTTGAATCTCAATACCAATATTGTATGTAGATCTTTACTTATATCTTACTTTTATAATTAATTCTTATTTAAGTCTAGACTCTTGTACAACATATAATATAACTATTTTCTATAGTACTGTTTACAAATCATGTGATATTAGTTTCCGCGCCTGTCCGCTAGGCGGCGACACTAGTCTCGCGTCAAGCCTGAAGGCTCTTGGTGATTGTAAAATATATATGTTTTTCCTTTTAATATTAATGTTGTGTTTTCTGAAATAGTGACATAAAATTTTAGTCCATTATGTATATTAAATATTTATCTACTTATTCGTTTATGCAAGTAACTTAATTTTTGTTATTATGTTAGTTATTATTAATATGTAAAACACGGACACTTTATTACAATGTGATTATTAGTGGCATGTGTTGAGTTATTAATAGTTATGAAACCAACTAAATTGTTTTAATGGCTTATAAATTATTCCGCCAATATAAATAAAATGTAATATATACGTTTATGTACTAAGTTAATATGAAATCTGCATTAAACGTTGACGTATCTTCATTAGAATCTTTGCCAATACTTCAGTTTCTTTGTTAAGGTAAGATGTCGGAGCAAAAGTCTCTGATGCTGGAGCCAGGGAAGGTGATCAGACCCATCATAGATCATGAAGGAGTCAAACTCCTCGCAGAGAGACTGTATGGGATATCGGTCTTAGAACTAGAGGAACTAAACGGTTATGATGACAAGAACTATAAAATCATAGAGGACCCCAACGTTAAGAACCCGCTGATAACGAAGCACAGTCCTCACGGGTACGTTCTGAAGATTATGAACTCTGTGGACTCACAGAACCTTGATGTTGTTGAAGCACAGAACGAGATCATGAACTTCTTGAGTGAGTATTACGTTATGGTTCTTGTTTAATGAAATCACAATAGGTTAATAAGCACACAAGACTTTTAAAGAATATATTGTGTGCTCTTTCATTTAACAACACGAGAACTTTTAACTAATTTCAGTACTAAAAGTTAAAGAGACGAATCATTTCATAATTTGTACGAACATTCATATTGAAAAGCCAGTCACTAATTTCATTGGAGACCAAATTGCTTATAGTGTTCTTTAATACTTCGAAGTTTTCATTATTATAATGATCACATTCACCAGCCCTTGGTTCAATTTTTTCACAATCCATCCTCAATATGCCGTCATTCTGTTCATCTTTCTCTCCCCATCTCTAATATTACATCTCAGTTGAAGGCACCCGCTCCGTGTATATTGCCAAGCCGTCATATTATCTTCTGTCTCCCTCTCTCATTCTATTCATCTCCCTGTCTCTCTCTCACAAGTCTCATCATCATGTCTGTTGTAGGCACCAGGTCCGTGTGTTGCCCCAAGCCCATCCGTAACGTGTTCGGTCACCTGTACTCGTCGGAGCGTGTGGGGTCCTCTCAACACGTGGTCCGTCTGTTGGAGTACGTGCCCGGAGTGTTGTTGAAGGACGCTCCTCACAGCGACCAGCTCTGGTATCAGCTGGGGGAGTTCGCTGCCAACCTCGTTAATAAACTAGAGGTGAGTTATACACACACACACACACACACACACACACACACACACACACACACACACACACACACACACACACACACACACACACACACACACACAGACACACACAGACATCTTAGACAAACATCGCGAGTACATATAGTTAAAGATAGAAATTCAAGGAGAAAATAGTTAAGAAAGTAACCATCACACTAGCTTGGTGTCTTCAGAGTTTTTGGAAGTTCGTTCAAATAATACGAATTATATTGAATTGAAAATTGGCAATTGAATTCTTGGAACGTACTTCATGCAGCCCTAGAAGGTTTGTTTCAAATTTGGTAGAGAGAGGAGTGTGGACGGTGGAGGTGAGCGTTTAACGCGTTAGATAGGGGTCCCTTAAACCTACACCTGGGTCACAAGCCCCAGTCACTGTTGAAGCTCCTCTCACTACAACGATGGACCCGACACACGCACCGTGAATACATTGAATGATGAGAAGTTTCGTCTCTCTCTAAATTGTTTGCTTCGTAAGATATGATGTCTGTTATGGGTATGAAAGCATATGACGTATGTATTATATTGTTTTGTCTGTCAGTCAGTTTGTTTAATAGTGTTCATAAATCTTATATAATTTATTAAAGTATAAGTATATATAATTAGTAATATTTCATTTGTAGTGCCATGTTTAACTTTTAATACATATATAAATCTTGTCACATTGTAGTATAAGCTGAGGTCTTTGTATGAAATTCGGAAAACGGGAAACTTGACATTAGTTGTGGTGATACAAACATATGGTAGGAGAGATCGACAAATTTAATAGAAACAATTCATATAAAACTATCTTGAATATATATTTTTGTATAAATAATTTATTATATTATAATGTTGTGTTCTCACTTTTAAAGTATCGTTTGACCAAGTTGTTTTGTTTTGTTTGTTAGTTTGATAAATTAATGTCAGAACAAACATGCTTGTTAAACGACGACCACACAAAACAAAGACTCTGTCACGTAACATATAATTTATTATAAAGTTAAGATAAATTTTACAAACACATAACAATAGTGTATTATTAAGATTATAACAACATACATAAAAATGTTTGTTTGAACAAAATTACTAGATAATTTGTCAACGATTCTATATTTACTGGACATAAACATTCTCGTATTTTTCTCAGGCCTAATATGTATTTATGCCTCTGTAACTATTCATAGTAATCTGTATCTCCTGTGTGTGTGTGTGTGTGTGTGTGTGTGTGTGTGTGTGTGTGTGTGTGTGTGTGTGTGTGTGTGTCTGTGTGTGTCAGTATCATCAATGGCCTCACAATACATCACTCACTATATTCTTGTACAATACATTCAAGGCCGCGTCGTTTGTTGTCATTCTGTTTGTAATACCTACTATCATATGTAACTACAGTTCACAGTCCTACTTATAAACACGCGATACATACTAGCTCACGACCGTGACTTTGATCATCTTGAATCTGAAATATTTGTAAACTCTGAGCAATCTGTAACTATATTTTGTCTAACTTTAATCTGTTCGGAAGCTCTGAGAATATAGGTATATAGTTATATACTTTTCTTCATGATGAAAAGGATGTCATGGATGGAATAAATGAATCGCCTGATTATTGAATTCACAATATATAGCTAAAATAGACAAACACACTAATAGACTGGTTAAATATTGTATAATAACAACGAAACCCATATACCGTATGAAACAAATCATGTTTTAAAGTATGTCACAAGATACTAAATATGATTTTGTCAATATGTGTTGATTGTTATATTAACTATGTAATCATCATGAATCCATCAACATTAATTATTTCTTGTTTTAATTAATAATAATATATTAATTCTTCAATATATGTAGACTGTTATATTAACTGATCATTACAAGTAAGTCATATTAGGCCAGTGCAGATGCCTCTAAAAATGATGAAAAATTTAAATAAATTATAGTAGAATGAAACCCATTATAAAAGGAGGGCAATATTATAAAAATTAAGGGAAAAATAATTTACGGGCGATCTGAGGTCGGGATGGGTATTTAAGGGTAAAAAATGAGTTTTCTCGATTTCCGGAAAAACTAAGAGTCCTAATGAAAAATGTTGTATCGCAAAGTTGTCGGTAATAAGAAGATCTAAAACTTTTGTACTAACATTTTTTTCACATATTCCTCAAATTTTATGTGAAAAATTCGAAAAACCAAGTTTTTTATTTTTTATTTTTATCTCTTACAAAAAACAATATTTTGTCACGAAATTTTGTAAAAACTTTCCTTTTGATATCCCAAATACACTGTAATTTATTCGATAAGAAATATTTATTTTTTCAGCTTATTTTGAATAAATATCAAAAAATCAGCCTCATTTTCAATCGAAATGTCACCAATCAAAATATTAGTGTTTTTAAAAAATTTAGTGTGTTTTCTGTTCGTTGAAATCTCTATTTTCCGATGGTGAAGAAATAAATATAAATTTCTAACTTGCAGTACCATTTTTGGATAAAATAATCATGTCCCTTTTAATGAAATGACACTCGATATCGTTTCGAAAATGCTCTTTCTAATTTATTTTTAATAGTTGTGTACTCTGGAAGTTCTGCAGATAGTCCCTCTTTTAGGTAATTTACAGAAAATTATAAAATACAGTTTAATGTCAATTTTTTGTTATTTTAAATCGAATTTTTTGATTTTTAGATATTTCGTCAAAATAAGCTGAAAAAATAAATATTTCTTATCGAATAAATTGCAGTGTATTTAGGATATCAAAAGGAAAGTTTTTGGAAAATTTCGTGACAAAATATTGTTTTTTGTAAGACATAAAAATAAAAATCAAAAACTTGGTTTTTCGATTTTTTCACATAAAATTTGAGGAATATGTGAAAAAAATGTTAGTATAAAAGTTTTAGATCTTTTTATTACCTACAACTTTGCCATACAACATTTTTCATTAGGACTCTTAGTTTTTCCGGAAATCGAGAAAACCCATTTTTTACCCTTAAATACGCACGCCCGTACCCTTCCCGACCTCAAATCGCCCGTAAATTATTTTTCCCTTAATTTTTATAATATTCCCCTCCTTTTCTAATGGGTTTCATTCTACTATAATTTAATTATGTTGTAAAAGCTATCGGCACTGGTCTATATGTCTATCATACTGTATATGTTTGTGGCAGCACTTCAACCACTCGGGCGTGGTCTCCCGTCAACACATGTGGATGTTGAGTAACGTGCCTCAGTTGGACAAGTTCAAATACGTCATCAAGGACTCGGAACAACTCGATCTTGTTGAAGAGGTAATCACACCTACTGAGAGACAAATAACATATTAACACGTCTTCTTTTGAACTCTAGTTAATGGTTTTTGTGTTAAAATAATAAATACTATGGGTTCAGTACATCGAGTGACAAGTTTTGTTATGTTTATAAAACAATTGACTTTGAAAGTACTAATTGTCACAGTAATTTATTTATACAGACTAAGATAAAAATAAACTAGTAGTAGAAGTTACAATAATATTCTTTTTATTTTGTATAAGTACTTTACAGGTACTATAAGGTGTTGTGTTATATTCAGGTGATTGAAGAGTTCAAGTACGCGGTCATCCCTCAGATGGAGGAGCTGGAGAAGGGAGTCATACATGGAGACATTAACGAGATGAACGTACTGGTGGCTCTTAAAGAGGGAAGGTGAGGATTAATAATATACAAACATTAGGTTACTTGGTTTAGTTCATATGATGGTCAATAGATGGCGCTTTTATGAATATTGTTATTTGATAGTTGTTGTTTACAACCATCAATAGATGGCAGTAGTTGTTGTTATTGAAGTTCAAGCATTAAATTTTAACTTCTTTTAAGTTTCATAGATGGGGTTGCGTGTCTTAATTTAAATTAGTCGTCCTCAGTTTAAAAAATTAATAAACTTTTCACGTAATAGGACAGTTAATACGAAGACGTTGAAAGTTTGTAAGAAGATTCTGAAGGGGATTACACTGAGGTAGGCCCGTGTAAGTTGAGTCACTAAGCTTACACTGGCTTACAATACTAGGGGAATATTGGACAGATGGTTTTATTAAAAATTAGGGGAATGTAATAATAATCTAACTTGATGTTTGAGGCGATGGGGGGAATAACAAAATATATATGGGTATATTATATCTATCCTATATTTATAAGCTGGGTTATAATAACATAAAAGAATACCAACTAACTTCTGCACACCTGTCACCTAAACGAAAGACATTCGTCAATTAATACATAATTTTGTTTCTGAATTAGTTCTACACAGAAAACTTCAGTAATAATACGTGTATATAATGAAAGCATGCACTTGATCAAATTGTAAAATAAAACAATACACTTTACACTAACTTTAAATTCTCATATCTTCATTAACCACGACATTATAAAGTTAAAATATATTAACTGTAAAGAGAACTCTCATTACACGCAAGTTCTGTTCGTTCGTTCCAGTAATAACTTCTTCAACTCCCATAGTTTCATAATAAGTTATACAGTATGCTAAATAACAGAGGGCGTTCCCATGAACACGTTAATACACATATGTATATCAGTAATAGATTAAAATAAATATATCAGCATAGAAAAATAAGCATAAAATAATCTGATTTAAAAATATTTTATTTAGCATGTATGGATGCTATATTATTGCGGATTAACGGGAACGCCCTCTGTTAGTTAACATACTGTATATATTAACTATAACTCTCATATATCTCCCGGTTTCGTTCGTTCCAGTAAGTCAGACTACCGTATCTCCGGTATCCTCGACTTCGGCGACATCCAACACTCGTGTGTGTTGTTCGAGTTGTCCGTGTGTATGACGTACGCCATGCTGGTGTCTGGTCCACGAGCCGGGGGGGTGGTGCTCGCCGGGTGGAGCGTCACCAGGAGACTCACGGACCAGGAGTACAGACTACTGAAGGTATGAACATAACTAGTAATAGTGATGTAGTTATAATATGATAATACGTCGAGTTTAGGAAACTACCATACGACTGTCAGTAACGTAAACATGACTTTCACTTATAACTAACACGTTCAATATATAAGACCCAGTTTCACCAATCATTGTTAAATAAGTGACAGCTTGTTAAGGCGTTTGATGCTCTGTTAGATGTATCGAGCGTCCCACCTCGCACAAATGTCCGTTTAAATGTCTTAATAATCCACTAATATTAATTCCTGCTCTGGAGCTCCGTCTAATGGCTAACATGACTGTTAATGCATTGTCAAAACTCAATTGTCCACTCACAGCCCTCATTTCTTGTAACCATAGTAACGTCATCTGTTTTGTCAGTTTCGACTATTTTCTTAATAAAGTGAATTAAAATTTCATTTCCTATGATGGTTTTGTCTCCAGCTTTTCTATGACATTGCAAATAAAATTTTCTTTTTATCTCTTATATGTAATTTGAACACAATTTATGCCCATATTTATAACACAATTTATTGACAACACGATTTTGACAGGTTACACCTAGTAAATTGAAAAGAAAACTTTTTGTGTGCCAAATGTATGCAACCAACGATATATAAAATTTGGTCGCATTAGTTTACAAGTGACGTATAAAGGGATATATACGATCAAAGTATAAAGTGTCGTGTTAAACGCTATAGTTTCCATTTCGTTGTCAAATTATTCGTTCTTGTTATACAAGAACAAATAATTTGGTAATCGGTCATTTAACATGACATTTAATAATACGATGTTAATTTGTCATCGTGGAACGTAAATATTTTAACAGACATTTATAATTTTGAAGGCTTGTTAGTAAAGGCCTTGTTTAGATTTAACAAACATTGATTGGTGAAACTGGGTCTAAATAAGTTTATTTTAAGTATTCGATTGAACCTACTAAGCGTATAAGTTCTCAAGATCCTTACATTCAACACAACTTTCTTCAAAATCAATATGAACAGTTTATTCAATGAATAGGTCGTGGAGGCCTATAGGTTAAAAGGTCTGCCTCTCATGCATGAGGGAGCGGGTTTAAATCCTGGCAAGTACCAATGTAGTGTTGCTACAAAGTACCCGAAACCCGTAGTAATCTGAAAGTATTAGTTTATTTCAAATGAATACTCCCCAAAGTTTTTAATATAATTCACGAACATTACATAATATTCAAACTTCTTCATCCTACTAATAATATAATTGCGAAAGTTTATGTGGTTGTGTATGTTTGTTACTTCTTCACGCTCAAACGGCTGAACCGATTTTGATAAAATATTGTATACAGGAAGCTGACGTCCAGGAATAACAAATAGGCTACTTTACATCCCGGAAATCCAAATCTAAATCTAAATATTTCCATCACAGCCCTTGGTATCAGCTCGTCTGGTCCAGAGCTTGGTGCTGGGCGCGTACACTCGGGAACAGGAGCCGGAGAACAAATACGTGTCCTCTACGGAGAAGGCCAACGGATGGGAACTGTTGAAGAAGATAAGGAAGAATAAACCCGACCCTGAAGACGACTGTACCAACTGGAAAGATATCGCCAATGACTTCCTCACGAGGAGTTAGACTGGGGACCTCGAATAACACTAATAACATATTATATTTAACATATGTATTAATAAACACCTTCTTATGTAGTGGATGCTTCTTCATCAAGTTTGATTTCATACTAACAGCTATCTTCCTTACGAGGAGTTAGACTGGAGAACAAATAAAATGAAGAATAAGTTTGATTTCATACTCCTAGCTACAGCTTTCATTTAGAGTTTGTTTTTTAAATCAAACTTATATTACTTCGCTTACTATATTCTAGTGTTTAAAGTATTATTGTTGTATATTATAACGTGTATAAAATGTTTATTTGTATGTATATTTTAGTTTATTATTGAATGGACAAATGTATTTATATTTAGTTATTAAATAAACGAGTGTTGGAGCAATGTGTGTTGTGTTATTGTTCATTCAAATCATCCCATAATATGTGTTAAATGAATATAAGTCAATATAAAAAAATACATAAGAAAATAGACTAGACTTCATAGCTTATGAGATATTTCTTCCATGTTACCTTTTAGTAAAAGATAGATAAAGATATTAAAGATGAGGTAAAGATGTATTGTGATATATATACATATTGTATTCAAGTCTTTGATTCTTATACATGGACAAAGTTAGCGTTCAGTGTATCACTAAGAAGAATAAGTAAGTATAATATATAGTAACCCAGAGAGTGTATGTTGAACATATTGAGTGTATTGTACAGATCATGTACAGCCGAGTCTCAATCAGTTCGGCGTTTCGCAAAATGTAGGCAATGTTTTTGTCAACACTATTATGTTTATTCATCAACATCATATTTAGAAGTAACTGAGGTCTGAGATGCAATCACTCAATATTCATCGTTTATTCACCAAGAAAAATCATTTATAACTCCCTACTATAATATTATAAATGCGAAAGTAACTGTCTGTCTGTCTGTTACGCTTCCACGCCTAAATCACTAAACTGATTTTAATGAAATTTGGTACAGAGATAGAGTTTACCTTGAGAAAGAACATAGGATAGTTTAAATCCCAGAATTTTGAAAGGTTCTCTTAGAAACGCGATATAACCGAACTCGACGCGGGAAAAGCTGCGGGCGGAAAGCTATTTTGCTATATACCTTTTTTGTCTCGATTATTGTTATCTTATTTTTAATTCGCCAAAGATATGGATTACTTTTATAAATTTCGAGATCAAGGATTTTTTAATTGATTCTGTTGACGCCAAGAAACACTAGAAAACACTAGGGTGTCACTCGAATGAATAGATTTTCGGTTTTGCCCCGGTTGCCAGCGCAGGTTCAAAAAAACTGAACAGGTATATTCTCACACATACCGATACATACCGATCTACCTGCACAGGTGGATCTATCTGGTAGACCACAGCTTGTGTATCTGACCTAACACTTTTGATATAACTTACTATCTCCAAAGATCTATTTCAAGGAGTTAAATAATATATCTTTGATAAACATCAAGTATAATTGTACATTGAAAAATATCAAATAATTAATAAAATAAACCTCTGTTCAGTTAATACTGAAATACAGTAATTAATATTACTGTATTTAAATGATGCTCACTCGAGATTAAAGATATGTTGTTGAGTAAAAACTATTATTAATATATACTGATACATTTATATCGTTAAAGAGAGTGTCTTGAAACATTAAACATAGATAAATATATATGCTGTAACTGCGGGAGTTATTTTGGTTTGAGGAAACTTGCTTATTAATATTAAATACTAACTTTTGCCCGCGACTCTGTCCGCGGGAACATCAAATTTTCTTACGGATCTCTAACAATTTTACAGTAAAATATAATCTATAGTATTCCTTAGCATTAATTATAAAAAGATTATTTTTTTATTTGAACCAGTAGTTCCTGAGATTTGCAAGTTCAAACAAACAAACAAATCTTAAGCTTTATAGTATTATTTTAGATAATTAATCTTCAATGAAGTAATGTTTATAAAACAGAAACTAAATACATGCATTGATTATGATTTTGATAAATTAATTTATTACTAAGTGAAAATATATTTAGAAAACGTGATATATTACAATACAATTGGTAGGCGGAATACAAGATACACCTCATACGATCCGGGACTATCGTTAGGCGGTCAATGCATTTCTACGGTTACGGAAAATGCACCATTTAAATTTCTCGGTCGTAAGATAGATAATATAGGCCGTACTCCATCTTTAGAAGGAATAGTAGATAGCTTTTTGAACGATCTTAACAAGGTAGATAGCCAACTGATAAGTAACGTCAAAAAAGCGTGGATCTACGAGAATTACTTAACTTCACGTTTGAATTGGCCTTTCCTCGTCTATGATTTTAATAAAACCCTTTTGTCAAAGTTAGATGCAGGCGTCATAAAGATGTTGAAGCAGTGGCTCGGGCTCGCTCTAACGGCTGATTCATCGGCGTTATTTAGGGGAAGCAATAGTTTTGGGATGAGTCTAAAAAGGCCATCGGAGCTCTATAAACACCTAAGAGTTTCCAAGAGATATATCCTGGGGAAATCCCATGATGACATAGTGACATCGCTCCCAAAAGATGAAGATGCCCCCGAGCTAGAGTCACGACTTCAATTCCATAAGCAATTTATGATAGGAGCGCAAAGTAACAGAGCGGGGTTAGGATCAAATAGGAAAGTCCAAGATGCGGATATATTGAAGTCTTTTATTCGGCAAGACGAGAATGATAAATATAAGATCCATGCAATGAATTTAGAAATGCAGAACGAGTGGTTAGACATAGGAGATTTTTGCATCCCATTAGCATTAAAATGGCGCACTTTAATTTATGATTGGTCGCCAGCATTGCTAAAATTCTATCTCAATGCGTTCCAGATGACTCTCCCAGATCAGAGTAATTTAGTAAGATGGGGTAAAAGTACCGAAAAAACTTGCTATATCTGTGGAAAGGCAGTTGGAACTGCTAAGCATCTGCTGGTGGGATGTAAGGTACTCCTTGACAGCGGTCAATACTCGCGTCGTCACGATAGGGTTCTAGAAGTCATACGTGAAGCGGTTAGTCTTTCGGTAGCCAGAGCGCAAAAGGGAATAACCACAAACGAACGATCAGTAGGTTTTGTGAGAGAAGGCACTAGGGCTACAAAATCAAACGTCAAGCCTTACTCCATCCTTAAAGCGGCGTCGGATTGGACTATAATGATGGACACGTATGAAAAACAATATAAAATCCCCGAGGATATTTGTGCGTCGGCCTCCAGACCGGATATATTTTTGTTTTCGCGAATTTTAAAGCGCGTAGTGATAATAGAGCTTACGGTCCCCTGGGAAACCAACATCCCCAAAGACCATACCATCAAGGTCAACAAATATTACGAGCTCACAAACGAACTCACTCGAAACAGGTTCGTAGTAGATTTGTACGCGGTAGAGGTGGGAGCGAGAGGTATAACAGCGAAATCTCTCTATAACCTACTAAAGGACTTGGGCTTGTCCAGAACTCACATTAATGCATTCTTGGAACGTACGTCGAAGGCAGCCCTAGTAGGTTCTTTTCAAATTTGGTTAGGTAGGGAGAGGAGCTTGGACAGTGGAGGTGAGCGTATAACGCGCGTTAGTTAAGGGGCCCCTTAAACCTACACTTGGGTCGCAAGTCCCAGGCACTGTTGAAGCTCCTCCCCCTGCAACGCGATGGACCCGGCACCCGCACGGTGAATCCATGGAATGCTGAGAAGTTTCGTCTATGTGGTCTAAAAATAATTATTATAGACAAATATAAAATAAACTCTTATTTGTACCAATTTCCTGTCATGTACGTGTCATCTTATAATTGTATGATGTGCTTAATCACTACTGACTATTTTTCTTTTGATTTAAATATGTGTTCGTAACTTCGTACACACTTACAATATCTAGGATATGGCCAGGTGCCGGTGAATTATTATTTCCATTATACTGAGGATATGATAATATTTAAACAAATTTATAACACTGAAAGTAGAATATAATAGATATACCGTTGTATTAAATACCGTAGTGTACAGTAAAAGCCGTACACTCAGTAAGGAGAACAGAAGGAGAAGATTTCTTCATCATCATCTCAAAATCATTATGGTTACCAGATGTTTTCCACAAATTAGAAAATCATGCTCCTGTACTAACCTAAATTTTGCTAGGAGCTTTATGTTTTATACATTGCCTACAGGTAATTACCAGAAGAACTACATCAAAAGTTTCTTCGAACGAAAAGTGAACAGTTAAAATAAAAGTGAAAATAAATAAAAAACTCAAATTTTCCGCGATTTGTTGATAGTAGAACGTTGTTCTAAAGGCCAATATAAGTGCTGGAAATTTCTGACCGGAAGTAGTGACATATATTTTATTTTGTACGGCTTTGAGTTGAAGCCTAGAAATTATAACAATCCTTAAATAACAGAGGTGGAGGCTCATTATAACGATATGGTCACTGTCACTACAATATATGTGTATATCGGCGCTACCAGCTTTAATAACGGATGCGACATGAAAATAATATGAGGCTGTCATCAATTATTATTAAACCTCATTAGTATTCAGGATTATTGTTAAAAGGAAAACGAAATCAAATATTGTTTAAAAGGAGAATAAAACTATGTGTGAATCTTGGTATAAATATGACGTCTGGATGCACGACGGCAGAATTCAGAGTTCAGTGAGTCCGTATCATTGAAGTATGTTATTATGAATAGTCCAAGATCCCAGAGCTCCCAGACGTCACTTATTTTCTGATGGACAAAATATATACGAGTGAGTAGTGGTGGGGTGTGCTATGATCATATGACTAGTTGCTACCTTGGCCAGACGGCCATTTTTCAGGTAGCAATTAATCAAGGTACATAGAAATACTGCTCACTTCACTTAAATTCTGATAGCTGATTTTAACATATATTTCACACAATATCGTTAAAAATCAGGATTCATTACTCCCAGACACATGCGGTCGGCGGTTTTACCTTACAGACGCTTCAAAGCTATTAAAAAAATTAATTAAGGTCACTTATTTTCTGATGCTTGATTTTTATATATGTTATTCAAACAATTATTTTAAAACGTTTTGCAAACGGACAGACCGATCCAAGGGGCCAAACATTCACCAGACCCAATTTTCATGTCGCTGAGAGTAGGGGCACGGGCATTATCCGTGCGCATAAGTGCGAGTGAGACAGACATGAGTGTCATTGCTTCTCTCCTTCTATTTGAAAATCACGTAAATAATCAAAGATTAACTTTGAGAAAAGTGCTCATCTGACCGCAATAATTATACAATTGTACCTTACAAACTGTTTTTTATTAATTTAAATTTTTTTAAGTAAGTTAATTTTAAATTTTTAAAGTAAATATCAAAAGGTTTACAAAGTATTAATAATTTAATTAAATAACAGCAACCTTTTCAAATAATTATTTATTTGTAACGAACCTTAAAAAACTACAAAAAATCGACAAATATTTTTTTTACATAAGTTTGTAAGATTAATTTGTAAATATTCGACTGGCTTCTAATCTTCATTGTCATCGTCGTTGAAGTCAGGTAATTCATCATCGAACCTATCTTGATATTGAATATCTAAATCATCATCTTGTTCATCAGTATTTTCCTCGGGCTTTTTCGCTGTAAAAAAGTAAAAACAAACCAACCAATTAAGATTTGGAAAACTAAAGAGACATCAAAATTATGAGAAGCTAAAATAAATTACCTAATTCTTCCTCCAAGGACTGACTGACAAAATCCGGCAATTGATCTCCATCAAACCAATAAAAATGACATTTATCATCTTCTAATGTCCAGCCATAATTTTCGGGATTGAGAATATTAATCATTTTTGCACTAGCATTGTTCCAAACACTAGCAATATAGTTAGCTCGTCGAAACTGTTGTCGAAGTTCGCTTTTACAAGGTGGTAAGTTAGTAGCATCGAAGTTTTTCATATTTTTTTGCATAAATTTTCTGCAATGCTTAATAACTTTTCTGTTGAATTAGCTTTCTCGGTTGCCGTATTTTTTGGTAAATAGTACTTTTTATTTAACCCTGTAAACGATTTGTAACAGTTTCTGTGATAACCACTTTCAAATAGTTCACTCGGCAAAACAACGTCTTTAAATTTTAGGTTATGTTCCTTTCTATGTTGTAAAATCACTCGACACTTTTTTAATGTCTCTTCCGTAAATAATATTAAATTTTCATCAGAATTATTGCAAAATACACAATTTAACAAATTAGCCATTATATTTTTTCAAACACTGCAAATATTTGTATTTTTTTATACGAATTGCTACTTAAATCACAACACAGCTGACGCACTCAACAGACGCGATACATTGACTAGTGGGTAAGAGTAAACCGAATAAAAGGAGAGAAGCAATGACACTCATGTCTGTCTCACTCGCACTTATGCGCACGGATAATGCCCGTGCCCCTACTCTCAGCGACATGAAAATTGGGTCTGGTGAATGTTTGGCCCCTTGGATCGGTCTGTCCGTTTGCAAAACGTTTTAAAATAATTGTTTGAATAACATATATAAAAATCAAGCATCAGAAAATAAGTGACCTTAATTAATTTTTTTAATAGCTTTGAAGCGTCTGTAAGGTAAAACCGCCGACCGCATGTGTCTGGGAGTAATGAATCCTGATTTTTAACGATATTGTGTGAAATATATGTTAAAATCAGCTATCAGAATTTAAGTGAAGTGAGCAGTATTTCTATGTACCTTGATTAATTGCTACCTGAAAAATGGCCGTCTGGCCAAGGTAGCAACTAGTCATATGATCATAGCACACCCCACCACTACTCACTCGTATATATTTTGTCCATCAGAAAATAAGTGACGTCTGGGAGCTCTGGGATCTTCCTCTAGAAGAACCTTCGAGAAATACAGGAGCATTAAGAACAATTGAAGTTTAATTTTAAAATATCATGGAACGTACTAGAAGAAGTGACATTAGTAAGGTCAGCGAGGCTGGCGTCTTTCTCTTTAAAAACAACGAATTTGTAATAAATCCGATATATAAAACGAAGGTTATCTCATACACGTCCTTGCATTCCTATTACCATCGTAATGTTCGTACGTCCCACACTTCTCTGTAGTCAGACTTGCTATCAATTACACCAGGATGGATACCTTCCCATCAGTGTCCTAGTGTTGGCTGTTAATATTACATGGAGGTTGCTCCGGAAAACTCCTGTATGCAATCTTTTAAAAGTCAGAAAGTACGAACATCTCTTTAAAAAATTCTAATTATAATGTCCGTTAAGGAAAGTGATGAGTATCTGATGAAACATTGTCTTATTTGTTCCATTATAAGGCTCACAAACAATTATAATGAATACTTGTCTATCATGATGCAATTTGTTTTTCTAAATCTATGTTACCTGACTACCATAGCGACAAGTACCATCAAGGGAGGAACTGCATTTGGAGCTTCGTTTACACAAGTCGTGTCTTTAGTGATCGAATATTTATGAATTGTTTCGTAATATTTCTTTTGAACATTTTATTTATATAATCATCTCTCAATGAGTGAATCATAATTATATCTCTATAGCCGTGTGTCTGACAGCTGACCGTCTTCATCACACTCAATCATTAATGTTGTTATTTTGCTTATATTTATTTTTGCTAGCGATTATTAAGTCGTCAAAATAAAGACAACAACTGAACCCAGAGCTTGTGAGGTGTTGTTACATCGATACATAATTAATATTTAATTCACTTCACTAATGAATGAGGTCAATGAAATGTTTTATAATTAAAGAACACGATTACTCCACACTCACGACTGTTACCAGATACATACAGGTACATATATGTACAACTATAACAAAATAATTATAGCTACAACAGTTTAAGGCGAAAAATTGATCGAGAATTTAAATATGTAATTATATATATTACTAGCTTTCCACCCCCAGCTACGCCCGCGTGGTGTTCGGTTATATCGCGTTTCCAAGAGAACTTTTGAAAAGTGTGGGATAAAAACTATCCTATGTTCTTTCTCAACGTCTACTCTATCTCTGTACCAAATTTCATTAAAATCAGTTCAGTGGTTTAGGCGTGAAGGCGTAACAGACAGACAGACAGACGGAATTACTTTCGCATTTATAATATTAGTAGGGATTAATTGTTCGAGAATGAATAAATATATGTAATTATTTATTATGAAATACCACATTATTATCGAATAGTTTTGGTTGCTTTTATTTTTTCACCAATTCTTTGTTTAATGACGCGAGGACTTGAAAGTGAAAACTTGAAAAACAACTACAGCTGAGAACAAAACCAAGGTGGAATGTAAAAGAAATAAGATTATTTTTATAAGAAACACATAAATCATACAATTGTATATTGTTACGACTCGCGACTTTGTGTGAATTTATTACAGAAATAACTTGTTTGATGCTTCTGTTGTATGTATATGAAAAATATGTTGAGAACAGTATGAGAATTAGAAACTTGGGCATGAATCTAATAAAATCTGTCTAATTTTGTACGCGCTTGTGTTGAATCCTTCTTAGATACATATCATATGTATCAATAAGTAACCCAAACAGTGTTATTGAGGCCTTTAGTAACACAAATAAAAAGATGTAAAGGCATGTGTACTTTTAATAATTGTTACATATACATAAATGAAACTAATATTTTTGTATATTATTATGTGTTACTTTATTCTTTTTAAAACTTCATACTCGCGACGTCTCGATTACTTTGCAACAACCGTGATCACGGACAGACATTCTGATCTCTCCAACGCGTAGCAATCCAAATATTAGTTTAATTTAAATGAATAATGAAGTCTTAGATCTCATTATTAGTTATATTGTTATCTTATTGGAGGTATTAATGAACTGGCAGGTACAATTAAATGAAAACAGTTTTATAAATGCAGTGAGTGCTCTATAATAAACTGTATTAAGATAAGAAAGTAGACTACATCATGACCATTATTCTTTTTCTCAATAACTAAATATTTTTTTGACGCTGATAGTGTTTCATTTCTTTTTTACATGTTTTGTTATTTTTAGTTATTATTTTCGTAACAATGCCGTATAGATCATTGAAGTACTTTTATCGTGATTAACAGATAGGAATGTAATACTACAGCCGAAGTTTCAAATTGTGCAACATGAGACGAAACTTTCTCATTATTCAATGTATTCACGGTGCGTGTGTCGGGTCCATCGTTGTAAAGAGAGGAGCTTCAACAGTGACTGGGACTTGCGACCCAGGTGTAGGTTTAAGGGGTCCCTATCTATCGTGCGTTATACGCTCACCTCCACCGCACAAGCTCCTCTCCCTACCTAACCAAATTTGAAAAGAACCTACTAGGGCTGCCTTCGATGTACGTTCCAAGAATGAATTAATGTTAGTTCTGGACAAGCTCGTCTTTAAGTAGGTTTAAAAAAACCTAATAACCTAGTAGGTATAAACAAACACAATTCACGTTACATTTATAATGAACAAAAATATAAGAAGTCAATACAGACAATAATACTTTTGAGCAACATGTTTAAATTATGTTCATATCAATTAAACGATTACAATTTTAATTAGTACTGTACCAGAATTAACAGTATTTTTCATTTATATATATTTTATTTCTGTATTCATTCACATTATTATGTGTTTCTTATAACGTGTAATACATTGTTAAAACATTTTATTATATTGTAACACACGAGCTGTAGACAGTTTAATTTGATAATTACATGTGTCTATAACACGAGCGGCATCGACGGACTGACACTATCATTATATGGTGAGGAGATTGACGTACATACTGACATACACTCATCATATAATATATACAAATAATAAATACACTACTACTATAAAACTATACAACACAATGATATCTAAGACTTTCGCTAGTATTCATTTCAATGAAACTAATTTGTTTCTGATTTACGCGTGCTTTACCTACACCTGGGTCACAAGTCCCAGTCACTGTTGAAGCTCCTCTCACTACAACGATGGACCCGACACACGCACCGTGAATACATTGAATGATGAGGGTTTCGTATCATTAAAATAAACCACATAATCCCGACTTTCCGTAACTTTTCAGCAACCGTAACCATTAAGATAAGATGTGAATATATTGATTTTTACAATAATAAAGCACGAGTAGTATATCCGCAAAATATTAGTTTCTTTGTATAGTCCTAATTTCAGTGTATATTGTATGTAACCCTTTGTATAATTATAATATTATTATCACATGTATAATGAGTTGTTTCTCAGTTCCTACAGCTGTGTTTAGTTCAGTGTATGAGTCGGTGTCGCGGGCTCCGCTCGTCTCTATATATATATAACACACACAGCCGTCCGTGTGTGAACAGTGAACTGGTTGTATTCATCATAATAAACAGGTAAATTAATATTAAAAAATATAAAAAAAAAATCATTCATTCATTAAAACGATATTCATGTGATATATATTAAACAAATAAAAAAGGTTATCTTAATGGACAAGTTTAAATTAAAAACCGTGAGAGATATATGTTGAATGATACACTTAATGAATTGTAAGTTTCATAATTAAAATACAATATATATAAAAAAAGTTAAAGTGTAGCTCGCTGTTGGAATGTTCGGTAGACTGTGTGTCGGCTGTGGACTGTGGGCTGTGGGCTCGACGAATATATGTTTAAAAGATTATCAACTTATAATTATTGATGATAGTTTTATTAAATAGGCTTTAAAGTATCGATTTGTATTGATTATAATGAATTAATTTTCTTTTATAATGTAAAAATCATGTTTAATATACATGTGGGTATGTAAAAATATTATGATTGTGATTTGTTTCGTCTTATTTGTTATCAAGTAACGAGCCAAATATATTAATAACTATTGAAAACATGGATTTATATTAATGAGTTAACTCACGTAGATTATGTGAAATATTTGAAATACTTTGATGATGCCATTTATAATGAAATAGAAATATTTTTGAAAGAAATATATTTTGAACAGATGAAACATTTGAGGTATGATAATAATTAATAGATCTAGTTAACAGATACTTAAAATTAAACTCAAAGTGATGTAGTATAAAAACGCATATGAAACTTAAGATAATAAGTTATTTTATAAGGTACATAATTGTTTTAATTCTACATATATATGTACGTGTTGGGTGATCAGTAGTTTTAATAATTACTTATAATAATCATGATTTTGATTCATAACTAGTAACTGTAGTGTATTATTTAAGAATTAAAAAACTACCGTCGGTATTAAATGTATGTACAGGAACGCGTTTTAAACAGAATTGTTCTAAGTACATACAGATAAGTTTAGTGAGACTTGATTCAATAAATACTACACAATTGACATGTTCACATACAGTACAGTTGTTTTCGAAAATTATAAATATCACAGTCTTTATATCATTAACTTGTTATTTTTTCTGATCACACTGTTGTAAGTCTATATAAATACAAGGAGATGAAAGTTTATACATTGACTTATATAAATTATATTTCATTAATAGTTATTCTAATATAATTAAATTGTTAGAACATTTATATGTTTATACATGTAATAAAAGAAATGTTTCTTGGTAGTTTAAGTATACATTAATTAATTCAATTAAATAAATATACAAATTGCGTGAGACGCCGTGTCTAGTGAGTAAGAATTGGACAGATGTACTAATTCATTGATCAATTATTAGAATATTATTAAAATGTTTCAAAGGGGGAAAACATTTATATTTTAAATGAAATCGGTTCGTAAAAACCCATCGACAGATGCTTATGATGTTAATGTGAATAAAATATATATTATATAAGAATACGAAATATATAAAAAAGTAAAAGTTTCAAAATGATTTAATCTTATAAGCACACTTTTGTATTACGAAATTTTAACCAACTCTTAGTAACCATATTTAATTCATATTATAATAGTTATATATACTATAATAAAATGGTTTTTATATAAAATATAATATTTGTCAACAGGTGTATATAAGATGTTATAAAACGTAACAGAAACATGAGTTCACAAACAGAGAGTGTTCAACTGAAAGATAACACGGACTTACAAATACAGAGAATAATAGAGAAACATGAGAAGAAGCTGGAAACACAGGGGCTGGAGGAGCCGAGGAAGAGGCACAGGCTGTCGTGTATGGAGGAGGAGAGTCAGAGGGAGAGGAGCAGAGTGCAGCTGGTGAAACAGATAGCGGCCATACTGAAGCAAGGGGACATGAGGTACACCAAGGACGGCCTGCACAGGACCTTCCAGGATGACGTGAGTATACTAGGAGTAGGTTACATACGTTAAATCATCATCATCATCAGCCTATCAGAGTACACTACTGAGCTATCGCTAGGTTTGAGCATTAACCACGCTAGCTAGTGATTTCAAACTTATAATTTGATATAAGTTCAAATTTCCTTACGATGTTTTCCTTCATCAGTCAGTGGTGTCTTAATACTATTATAAAGTACATATGACTCGGAAAAATTACATTATTACTTCACGCCAGGTTTCGAACCCGCGCCCTTGTGCATGAGAGGCTGGCTTGTAGGCCTCCACGACCTATTCATTGAATAAATTCTTCATATTGATGTTGAAGAAAGTTGTGTTGAATGTAAGGACCTTGAGAACTTATACGCTCAGTAGGTTCAATTGAATACTTAAAATGAACTTATTTAAAATATTTGGTTTTCATCACATTAGTCACGAAAAATGAACGGTAGGGATTATGTCAATAGTTTCAAAAAAGAAATCATGTCTTGAGTTTTCTATGATCATAATAATATATAAAGAATTAATTTATTTATAACTCATAATATATGAAAGTCAAAACATCATATATATTGAACGTGTTAGTTATAAGTGAAAGTCATATTTATGTTGACTCACTGACAGTCGTGTGGGAGTTTCCTAAACTCGGCATATTATTATATTAATCTGATAAAATAACTACATCACATACTATTAAGAAGGTTTTATTATTAAAGTAATTATCATTAAACTTAAAACGTGGTTGTTCATCTTTCAAATGATCCTTTGTGTTTTAAACACATTGTTAGTTATTTAGTCGATGACTTTCAATCTCCGTCGTTGTGTATATGTTCATACATTAGCTGTTATGTGTCATTATAAAACATAATGAAACAGATCATGAGCAGCTTTTAAAACATACATTAATATTTGTATCAATAATGACTGACTGTTAACTTTAAGTACTGCGATTGAAATAAGTAAAATTTAACATAGCTTTTAAACTTATAACAGTACAGTAATTTATTTTTTACTTAAAAATTTTGTGAATGTTATTGTTTTTTGCTAATGCAAAGTGAAAAACTTAAAATACAGTAATGAGGCAGAAGTAATATTCATTTTTCTTATATAAAAATACTATTTAAGAAGAACTTCCACAGAAATAAAATGAAATATTGTTTGGAGATGTCTTGACATTTAAGAAAAATATGTGCAATAAATAAACGCTAATAATTATTTATTATTACTTTCACTACATAAATTCTTCTTAGCATAGTTTTTCTCATTAGACTTTACTCAACTATTTAGAGATTATTTTATAAGTTCAGTCTCAACTTTCCTTTATGTTAATATACATGTTATAAAACCCGTATCTGTCTGTGTTTCGTACGTGTAGTGTGACATTTCAGTGTTGATCGATGGTAGTCACGACTCACTCATTAACCGCGTCGAGGTTGGGACATAATTATATGTATATCATTATAATTAACATTGAACTGTTATTTAGTATATATTATATATATACAACACCACGCCCATACATATTATATTATATTAGAACTATTTCTCTCGTAATACTTATTGAATGTGTGCTCAATTAGGTTTGAGAAATAACTTCATAAATTTGATAAATAAATTCAGATTTCTTTTAAAGTTGAAGATTTTTTAAGCTTATTTTAAATTTTATTAGCTTTCCGCCCGCAGCTTCCCCCGCGAGGAGTTCGGTTATATCGTGTTTCCAAGAGAACCTTTCAAAAGTGTGGGATAAAAACTATCCTATGTTCTTTCTCAAAGTCAACTCCATCTCTGTACCAAATTTTATTAAAATCAGTTCGGTGGTTTAGGTGTGAAAGCGTAACAGACAGACAGACAGAGTTACTTTCGCATTTATAATATTAGTAGGGATTAATTTTTTTACTGAGATTTAGTATGTTCTGCTTGAAGTATATTTACATCGTATCATCGTATTTCTGTACAATATGTTTACCAAACGTCTGCGTGATACTACACACTAAGCGTCAACAATTTCTCATTTAATTATCTACGTTTATCAATACAAACTGTGTACGCTCCGTCTGTAGTGTGCATACTCTAACTTATAGTAAGCATAATATAGATTTTTCAGTATAGTTCATACTATTCGTACGTCATTTCACTCCCGAAGTTCTTGTTTATGTTAGACCTGGGTACTGTCTGTTTCAATTCAATCTTCTCATGTTCCAGAGTGCGTCTAATGTGTCTGTATTCATTGTGGGTCCGTCACAACTCTTCCCGCGTGTTTTTCTCGTATTATTAATAGAGTGATCCTCATACATTATTTACTCCACGATGACTCCAGTCAGCCGTCACTCAAATATCAATCAGGAGCTTATCCTCGCTCCTTACTTACAGAAGCTCTTTATTTTTTTGTTTGTTTTAACTTTCCTCTCATTTTGTAACTTCTTTGTTAATTTCGGGACAAGTTCATCTCAAACTATCAAACATTTATATTTTACATTATATTTTATATACATAATATGAATGTACGTCAAATCGCTTAAATTGCTATCACCATCATCATAAGCCTATCAGAGCCCACTGCTGAGCAAAAGCCTCTTCTCACATGGAGAAGATTCGAGCATTAATCATCACGCTCGCTCAAGACGGGTTGGTGATTTCAAACTTATAATTTGAGATAATAAGTCCATGTTTCCTCACGATGTTCTCCGTCATCATCTGTCAGTGGTGTCTAAATACTCTAATAAAATACATATGACTCGAAAAAATCACATTGATACTTGCTCGGTTTCGAACCCGCGCCCTCATGTAAGAGAGGCGGCCTTTAATGCCAGCATGACCTAATTTAAATTGCTAAGCAGATTTTAATTACAGTCCTTATAGAATAATCGTTTTTTAATATATAATTATATCATTTCGCCTGACCGTCATATATCTTATTGACAACCAATTATGAATGAGTTATGTTACATATAGTTATCATATGTCACTTCAGTTCGTATCTTTAACTCTGTTAGCTGTCGTTGTAAGTCAAGCCTCTAACAATATACATTATAAGCGCGGGGTAACTGAGTGTTATCTATTACCTTATCAGTATGTGTGTCAGTGTGTCTGTGTTTGATTGGTCGTGTATCTCCTCACAGCGACCAATGGTTCGTTCTATAAGCCGCGTGTTTCAGTCTACTCGCTACTCGCTACTCGCTAGTCGCCTGTCGAAGGTTGTCTTCTGAAGTCAGATGCATGTAGTCCAGTAAGTGGAGCGAGCGAGTTATTGTACAACCTGTCACGAGTAATGATGCTGATTTATATACTGAGACCTTCGACTGTGATTGTGAGCTTGATACGTCTCGTGTCGCGAATACTAAATGGGTCATGAAAACTACACAAATAAATATTACACAAATAGTTTTTATATTCTCTATAAGATACAATCTCTATCCAATTAGTTTAACATAGTATCGGTACACGTCAGTATGTTAGTTCGTGTGTTACAGACAGCCGTGTATTGTATACAAGTACGGAGTTAACTGACTAATGAGACGTACATACGTGTAATAAAACAGTTTAAATATGCTTGGTTACTTCAAATTTTAGTTGAAATAAATTAAGAGAAATCTCTTCGATGATATTAAACTAATATATTAGTAATAGTATGGAGGTCAATCAAGTTTTAATTAATTCTCTCAAGTCCACCCGCCGCCAGGGTCCTCATACAGTGACCGATCTCAACACCAGATCTCCTCAGTGGTCCAAGCCTCATCATAACTCCTAATGTTAATATTTATTACTCGAGGCAGGTCACATCTCGACTGTAATCAATTTATTAAACGCTGTAAGTCTTGCTGTGTCGATCTTAATACATATTATTATCACACGATATTCAACCTTATATTTATTAATATAGAATACAAAATAGCTCGTCGGGTCAAAGCCTTGGTAGTCGTAATGTTTTCGGCGTAAGGTTGATGTTTGATATTTAATAGCCTTTTATGCAACATCAATTATATCGGTTGCCGTAATGTGACCTTTATCTGTTCTCTCTTAAAGGTGATAACTGATTGCCGCGGGCCATGTCTCTAGATCTATCTCCAGTCCGTTATCTCGTGATCTTCATCTCATATGTATCTTCGTAACATCTCAGCTTCCGTTCGACTCTGAGTGTCCAGAGTCTGGTTCTCGTGTCTTGTTTTGTATCTAATTGGTTTTCAATTTTGAAAATTTAAAAGTGATGTTTTAAAAATATATCATCTATAATTTATGTCTCATTCTTCTGTATAGAGAGGGATGTCATTCAAGACACCTGGATGAATTCTTTCCTATGAGTTGTTTTGGTCACATTTATCTATAGCATGAATGTTATTTGGAGTTCCTGTATATTGATACCTTTTAGTTGAGTAATATATTTTGTTCGACATTAATCCTCCAGCTACAAGTTGCCGCCTACCAGATGTTAATTTAAACATTCAAAAACTCCAACTCGAAAATATTTTCCTTACAAGATCCACTTTCTGAAATCTACAACTAATCAATGTTGTTTAAATGAAACTAATATTTTTCGGATATATTACGCGTGCTTATTGTAAAAAACTACATACTCCCGACGTTTCGATTACTTTTCAGTAACAATGACGTCAACATCTGATAAAAATATTAGTTTCATTTAAATGAATAAAACTCGCGAAAGTCTTAGACCTCATTACTCTCCGTAGTATTTCCTATACTCTTAGTATAATCCCTACTAATATTATAAATGCGAAAGTAACTCTGTCTGTCTGTCTGTCTGTCTGTCTGTCTGTCTGCTACGCTTTCACGCCTAAACCACTGAACTGATTTTAATGAAATTCGGTACAGAGATAGAGTTGACCTTGAGAATGAACATAGGATAGTTTTTATCCCAGACTTTTGAAAGGTTCTCTTGGAAACGCGATATAACCGAACTCCACGCGGCGAAGCTGCGGGCGGAAAGCTAGTATTAATTATATATCAATTCTAAGAGTCGGTTTCTTTGTCAGGTTCAACTAAAT